CACTCGAGCCAGGGACAAAGGCTAGTACTAGTCTAGTGGTGGTTGCAGCTCCCACACTAAGAACCTCTGAGGCGCCTGGACCGGAAACTACACACGCACCAAGACTGGAAACACAAGGCTCAATAGCAGTTGCAGCTCCCACATACCGGTGTGTGTACTGGCCGGGTCCATCAGGGCCCCGCTGTGGAGGTTGCTGCAGGCGCTGCAGCTGAACCCGCCACTGCTGCAGCTGAACCCGCCACTGCTGCAGCTGCGGCCACCTATGCTGTTGCCGCTGCCACTGCTGCTGCTGCCATTGCTGCTGCTGAGACCACTGCTGTTGCTGCGGCTGTCGCCACAACGACATGGCAAGCTAGTACGGGGGGGGGGGGGGGGGGGGGGGGGGGGGTACGCTGGCGGTAGCCTAAGTTGCTGCTGGTGCTAGTGGTGGCAGCCTAAGCTGCTGCTGGTGCACTGGGGGGGCAGCGTATACTGCTGATGGTGCACCTGATGGCAGTCTAGTGCGGTGGTGAACGGTTGGGTGGGGTTGAGAGCGATTGGGATCAGTGTAGGACGGTTAGGATGCGGTTGGGAGCGGCCTGGTGCGGTGGAATGCGGCTGAGTGCGGTTCTGGTGCTTGTGGGAGGGGTTCAGTGTGGTCGGATGCGGTTGGGAGCGACGGAGGGCAGTTCAGTGCGGTTGGGAGCGGTGAAGAACGGTCTAGGGCGGTAGAGTGCGGTTCTGTGCGATTCCACGGGGGTTAACACGGGTCGAATGCGGTTCTGTGCAGTTCCAGGGGAGCTAGCACGGGTGGAGTGCAATTCTGTGCGGTTCTGTGTCGTTTTGTACGGTTCTGTGCGGTTCTGTGCGGTTCTGTGCGACAGACTATGATTTCTACGTGTGGCTAGTTGGAAGGGCTGAGGCTAACTGGTGGGGCGGCGGGTGAGGCAGCTCCTGGGGCAGCGGGTGTCAGGTGGGGCGGCGGGTTTCAACTCGTGGGGCGGGGGGCGGCTAAGAGATGGGGAGGCGGGTAAGGCAGCCATTTAAGGGTGGGGCAGCGGTTAAGGCGGCGAGCTGCACGTGCGCGCGGCTGCTGCTGTGCGTGCGGGCGACTGACGACGGGACCACGGGGCCCGCTATCGAAAGGGCCGCGGGGCCCGCTATAGAAGGGTTGCGGGGCCCGCTAGCGAAAAAGGGGCCGCGGGGCCTGTTCCTACGGTCGACTGAAGACGGGCGACGGGCTACGGGAGGGGAAAAATCGACGGGCGACGGGCGACGGGAGGGTAGAAATCGACAGGCGACGGGCGACGGGAGGCTAAAAATCGACGGGCGACAAGAGATCTACGGGCGACGGGGTGGACACTGACAACGGGCGCGCTCCGGGCGACGGGCGACGGTCTACGAGGCGCGCATTACGACGGGGCGCGCGTTAGTACGAGGCGCGTGCTAGCGAATTTTTGTGGGCCCTTAATCTATCGAGTGAAAACGCCAGGGGAAACCCTAGCTAGGGAAAACTAGCTCTATACCATGTTTGGATATGAGAATGAAATGACTAGAAATGAACAAACAAGCAAGATATAAGTCAGCCCTAACCCTAAACCTAGGACAAAGAAAATGCACCTAGACTAGAACAATACAAACTATATCATCATAGTTTGACACCTCCTACCAGTCCTCTGGCCGTCGGGGGTGAGTCTGCCCTTGGCTGTGACGCCCTAGAGGACAAGCAGTGAGATCGAGTTCTTGCAGCCGCTTCCCCTCATCTCTGTGCCATGCTGCTCGCCCCTGAAGGAGACCCCGACGCCCTTGACATACCGACTCCTCGCACTTACGCTGAGGCCGTGTCAGGGCCTTGGGCCTCTCAGTGGAGAGCTGTCATGGACGCAGAGATGGCCTTCTACAGATCCACAGGCACCTACGTTGACGAGGTTCCCCCCCCTGGGGCGAACGTAGTGGATGGCATGTGGATCTTCTAGGTGAAGCGGCCACCTGAATCTTTCCTTGTCTTCAAGGCGCGCTACGTGGCTAGGGGTTTCATTCAGCGCGAGAGAGTTGACTTCTTTTCGCACCATTCTTCGGGTGTTATTGCACGTAGCAGCACAGAGAGACTACGAGTTACACTCTCACAACTTCTCCACTGCCTTCCTTCGGGGTAGCCTACACAAGGAGGTTTTCGTTACGTCATCCCTCTGCCTTCACTAGCACTTTCCCTCCTGGGACCTAGTGGAGGTTGAGGCGACCAGTCTACGGTCTTCGGCAGGCACCTCGTGAGTGGCACGACACCCTTCGCTCTACGCTGTCTGACCTCGGTTTCCAGCCGTCTTCTGCCGACCCGTCGCTGCTCATTCGTCGTGGCTCTACACCGTTCTTTGTACTGGTCTACGTTGACGACCTAGTCTTTGCCACTGCTGACGTGGTTGCTTTGGCTGACGTGAAGTCCGAACTGCAGAAGAAATCTGCGTGCACTGACCTTGGTGAGATGCGCCACTATCTAGGCATGCAGATCACCAGGGACAGAGCCGCTCGCACCATAACACTCTCACGGTCACACACGGTGCAGCAGGTGTTTCAGCGGTTCGAGCTTCAGCACTCTACAGTACAGCGCACACCTCTTGCCGTTGACCACAGACTCACTGGTCCCTTTCCTGGCGAGCCGTTTGAGCCTAGTGGTCCTTATGCAGAGCTTGTGGGCTGCCTCATGTACCTGATGACTTGTACTCGCCCGGACCTCGCCTTCCCTCTCAGCATCCTTGCTCGCTTTGTTGCGCTAGGGAGACACCGTCCTGTTCACTAGACAGCTGCTGTGATGGTGGCGAAGTACCTGGTGACGACATCAGGCGTGGGGCTCGTACTTGGAGGGAGACAGTCTGTCGTACTTACTGGTCACTGTGACTCTTCTCACGCTTACGATGTTGAAAATCACAGGTCTACTCAGGGGTACTGTTTCAGCATGGGCTCTAGAGCTGTTTCGTGGAGGTCCGCGCGTTCCTCCTCTGTCTCGACCTCTACTGCTGAGGCTGGGATCTACGTTGGAGTCATGGCTGCACAGGAGCTGCGTTGGTTGACCTTCTTGCTCTCCGACCTTGGTGAGCGGCCGAGCTCTGCACCGACCTTGTTTACTGACAACAAGGCGATGATTCTCCTCTGTCGAGAGCCTCGACATGACAGCAGAGTGAAGCACATCAACGTCAGCAGGGCCCATGATATCAGGGCAAAACATCCTGATTACCCTGATTTAAGGATGGTGTTTTAAGTTTGCCCTAGAATTTCATAACGACGCTGAAATTTACCCTGTGACGACAGGATGATCCATGTGTTTTGCCCTGAAATTTCAGAATGGCATTGAATTTTTGCCCTGAAACGTTACGGTAAATGTAGAGAGATGCCCTGACTCGTGGGAAGGGGAGAAGGGGTGGAGGGGGGAGAGGGGGGAGAGGGGGAGAGGGGGAGAGGGGGAGAGGGGAGGAAGGAGGCTGGAGGGTGTGTGTGCTAGTTTTGTCCTCACCTCTCCCCCACCAATGTTTCTGCTCAGCCAGTAGAAGTGAAACCAGTGAACAACCTGCTCCTTTCGTGCCTTCCCCTCCATCCTCTCTAGTGCCTTGTATTTTTTGCCTTGAATCGTCCAGATGAATTTCTGCTGGTGCCCTAAAATTTCAGGATGGCCAGGAAATTTGCCCTAAAAAATTAGGGCATTTCAGAGATTTTTCAAAAGTTACCCTGAGGGCTCAGGGTGCCCTAAATCCTAGCACAGGCCTTGAACCTCAGGTACTATCTTTTGCGAGAGTTGCAGAGGCGTGGACAGGCTAGCTTGGACTTTGTGGAGTCCGAGGCCAACACTGCAGACATCTTCACCAAGGCCCTTCTGCCTTGTGACCACTGCAAGTGTTGTGTGCAGTTAGGTCTTATTGACACATGTTCTCGTCGTGTGTAGACTTGTCTTCTCTGCTTGTTTTGTTTGTACACTTTGCATATACCTCTGTGAACTCTTGGACTGACCTTGTGGTTCTTTTGCTTGTACTCGAACTGTGTGGTGACGTTGTGATTCACACTGAGCTTTGTTGCTTTGTGACTGGTCTTATGACCGTACGGTTTTGTGTTTGCTTCACACCCCTCACTAAGGCTAGGGGGTGTGTCAAATGTTGTAGCTTTTAGTGATGCGTGTCAGTTGGGGTACAGCAGACAAGGTTAGGTTTATGTACCCCAACCCACAATAGTTAGTCATCATTCGGTTTCTGACAATAGGTAATACGGTAACTCCAATAAATAATTCAATATACATTCATTCCTCGCACTAGTACCGTATATTTCAAAAATTTGAAGCATCCAATGCAGCCCCGAACGAGCATTTCATGCATCTCTGTGAAGTGAACTACAAGCACTCTGAATAATTGTTCATGGATGAAGTGCCAGTTTGCTACTTTGGCTCACTTCAATGAACTCTTATCAGTCATAGTAAAGGATTCGGAAGCAGCTCCTTATCTTTAGTGTACTAACGACAGTTATCTTACTAGCGTCTCGACACTCTAGTGAATTCGTATCTCGCGCTTTACAGTCATCACCTTTCGCGGCGTTTCGACTTGTAACGATGGCTAGCTTGCGCCACTACCACATCAAATTACAAATTTGCGCGATGCGAGGCTCCTCGAAGTCTGAAATTGTAAATGCAATGAAGCTCGCCTGCCCAGCAAGGCAAACCCAGCCCTGGGCTTTTCACTCTCAACCCTGGATGGCGGCACTTCAAGGGCTTGTTGCCATTGGCGCATTCTCGCACACCCTTGGTCGCGCTTCGACCCACCCTGGGAAATGCAACCTTGACAGTCGGCGATGCCACCTACCTTGCACTCATGGCCACATTGCATTGCAAGCAATGTACGGGGATCGCCCATCGTAATCAGGGCTCAGGTCTCGTCCATTGAAATAAGGCACAAGCTAACCCATTCCCAAACCATTCCCGAATTACGTGCTCTCCTACTGTTTAGCCCTAGCTCCTTTTCTACTAGTGTCCTCGCTACGCACAAGCCATGTCAGGTCGTACATTCATGTTGCTCCTAGCGCTGGTCCTCGTAGGTGTCTCGTCCTGCCTGGCGGCACCAGGCCCAGGCTACGACGCGTCGTTCAGCCGGCACTTCCGCCTGCCGGCCTTCTGCAACGGCACCTACTGCAACATTGGGCCAGACGGAACCGTCACGCTTACAGCCGCCCAGAACAAAATGGGAGGTTCGTCGTACTGTCTTGTCACGATTTCAAGATCGTGGGAGTCCCTTCTCTTGCTTGGGAACGCCTGACATACCAAAATGCTTCACGTCATTCGTGAAACACGCCCGACCGATCACTCTTCTGTTTTGCTTTTGTTTCTTCTTGTTGGCATTGCGTCTGGCGGCAGCATTCGAGTCGAAGAGCTACTACCAGTACGGCATCTTCGAGGTGAAGATGAAGCTGCCGCCGGGGTACTCGGGCGGGCTCATCCCGTGCATCTACCTGATCTCGGGCGAGGGGCTGGACTACCGCGACATCCACGACGAGATGGACTTCGAGTTCCTCGGGTGGAGCGACCCTAAACAGATCAAGATTCACACCAACGCCATCGCGGGCGGGTATACCAACGTCGAACAGGTAGGCAGCCCGCCGGTTGGCTCGTGGGCGGCTCCAACATTGGGATCCACGGTTACCCCGTATCCAGTCCACTGGACAGCTCCGTCGAGCAGCTAGAGACCTGGAAAGGCGGAGAGAATCGGCAAGATTAAGATTCGCGCGTCGGCTAGGTGAGAATTTGGAAGATTGAACAGCGATTGGAAGTGCACATGCACGCGAGCGAGATTGTGGGCTGGTTGGTGTAAGTGATGAACGCCGAAAAAAATGTGCTTGTTTGATTCAACGAATGCGTATCTCACACGCGACACGAAGAAATGGTGCTTCTGGAGTTTGCAACGTCTGCGTTCTCCTGTGCCCTTTCTCCTCTCCCGAAGTAACAGTCCGAGTTCGAACCGACGGGGAGCTTCTCACACTACGCTCTTAACGGGGTCGTGTAAGAGATTTACAATCAGGGTGGTCGGAATTCACCGGCGCATGCGCGTCTCCTGCGTCTTGCGATTCGTCCTTTCATTACCCCGTCCCCTCTTCCGCAGTACAAGTTCGCGTTCGACCCGTCGGCTGACTTCCACACGTAAATCATTGTGTATGCGCCCAAGTAAGCGACTTTTGAGCCGACTCAAAAGTCCCCTCTGCATCTCGCAGTTCGTCCTTTTATTAAACCCCTTTCCCCTCTCCCTCGCAGTACAAGTTCCCGTTCGACCCGTCGGCGGACTTTCACACGTACACCATGGTGTACGCGCCCAACTGGCTCGTGTGGAAGATTGACGGCAAGCCCATCCGCATCACCTGGCGCGAACCGGGCAAGCCCTTCCCCTCGCTTCCCATGAAAGTCATGGTATGCTTCCCCTTTCCGTCTTTCCCCGGATAATCTTCCTGCTTCACAACAACGCGTTTCTGCCTCACCTAGTTTCTCTCGTTGACCCTATTCGCCATGAATCCCATTCGAGTAGTTCCTACTTTTCTAGCTGATTGATCAGCATCACCATTCCCAGTGTCCCCGCTTAACGATGACCTTCTACAAGCCCCCGTCTCCGCTCCTCTCCCTTCCCCCCCACCCCACCGCCGCCTTGCTGGCAAGCAGGGGTCGATATGGGACGCGTCCTTTTGGCTGCCGTTCAAGAGCGACTACACCAAGGGCAACGTGACAGTCAAGTTCCGCCGCTTCGACCTCAAGGACGCCTGCCGCTCCGTAGATCCCAAGGTCGCGCCTGCTTGCGCTTTCCGCAAAGATGCGCGCAAAGGTGCGTGGCTGACGCGGCCTTCACGGAACGATATCGCGCGCGCCAAGCGACACAGAACGCTGTACCTGTACAAGGAATTTGGCGGATGGCAAAAGGTTGTGTAGGGGATCGTCGATTGTGTTTGTATCTTAGGGAGTCTCCTAGATGGATCACACCATAATTAGGAGCTAGACAATAGCTAGAGAGTAGGATGTAGTCAGGATGTAGCTGACAGACGCGGTGCAGGCTTCACCTGATTGTAGTTAGCAGTATTTCTGACTCAGCCCTGTTGTGTAGAAGAAATTATATATTTTACCAAGCAGTTGTAGCAAACCTTGTGCTGAAATCGGGTAATAATAATTACGTTTTTTTTTTCAAACTCCTTGTTGGACCTGCCCATATTTGTGCAATTTTAAATTCCACATGTAACAATGCTCAACAAGGCCAGGTAGCATATGTGCTTATAGGTGTATCGTTCATTCTCTATTATTTTGTTACATTTGGTTCTCGTCTGAAGTTGTGGTGGGAACTCCGCACCTCAAATCCGACCTGATTTCAGCAGTGCATTCACAGCGAAACCTTCACCTCCACCCCACATACACACAGTACCGTAAGTCCCTTGTACTCCAGTTAGCACTGTCCCGCTTCGCTCAGTTTCGAAACCTGTGTGGGTGGGGACGTTCGCTCTAGCATGAGCGCCTTCGCTCGATGCCATGGGACTGCCGGAGGGCCGTCGATCGCGTCGTCTTAGTTGGCAAGCGCGCCGCCCGCCGTCGCGCGGCGCCTCCTCGGCTCGGCGCGCCGAGCTACTTCGACGTCCGTCGTCGCTCCTCCGCGTCTCCATCCTCCTCCTCAGCTGCGTCGTCTCGCTCTCGCCACGTGGCTCGGCCTTATTGGCAGGCAGCGCCCACTGGCGCCACGTTGAGGCGCAGTCGCGCCATTCCCCCGAACCGTCGCAGCCCGCGCGGAGGGCCAGCGGGGAGGCGGAAGGGGAAAACGTGGGGGAAGGGGAACCCCGCGCTGTTTATGGGGCCGCAGCGTGGAGATGGGGCGGGGGAGAGGATGGGGAAGCACATGGCGGAAAGGATATTAGTGGCGGAAGGGAAGGGGAAAGGATAGCTGCGGAGAGAAATGTGCGCGACAGCGAGGGGGAAGCAGGGGCGGGCGAGCGGGTTGAGCGGGTGGGAATGGGGATAGGGATGGGGTTGGGAGCGAGGGGGAGGGCTGGAGGGAAGAGCGGGGGAGCGCGAGGTAGTCGGGAAGGGGACGCGGCGACAATGGCATGGGGGGAGGCGGCAGCGTGGGGAGGGGTGATGGTGCACCGCGCGCAGTGGCACTCCAGCAGACAGCGAAAGGGCGCGCAGGGGGACGGCGGGCAGGGGGGAAGCAGGCAGGCGGGCGGCGGACGGAGAGAGGCGGGAATGGCCAGCGCGAACGGGGGCGCGGGCGCGGGCGCGGCGGAGATGGCGGTCAGCGCGGAAGCTGCCGGCGTGACTGCGGGAGCGGATGCAGCTGTGCCTAATGGGGCGGATGGGGCGGATGGGGCGGATGGGGCGGATGGGGCGGATGGGGCGGTGGAGGCGGAGAGGGGCGGGGCGATGGCGCACCACTCTGTGTGGCGCACCCATGGCGGGGCGGGGGACGCGGAGGGGGGCGGGCGAGTGGTGGAAGCGGAGAGGAATGATGGGGAGGCGCGAGGGAGCGATGGGAGGGGGGGCGATGGGCGGGCAGGCGATGGGCGGGCAGGCGTGTCTGGTGGTGCAGTGGCAGCAGGTGAGATGAGGGGCGGACACGATGATGCGGAAGGGGATGGTCGGAGTGCGGGGTCTGAGCGCCAGGGGGAGAGAGCAAGGGTTGGAGAGCGAGTGGGGCATGCGCGAGGAGGCGAGGGCGGCGAGCGGGGGACAGGGGGCACGCCACGCGCGTGGCACCACGCGTTGCTGCACGGCCACCCGCCCACACGCGCGCCTCCCCCTCCCCCTCCCACTCGCTCTCCCCCTCTACTGCTGGCGCGCACTGCTGTGGCCGAGGGCGGTGGGCATATAGGAGGGGAAGAGGGCCTGGGTGGGAGAGGGGACACAGGAGGGGAAGTGGACTTCCCCCCACACCATGCGCGGCTGTACGCGCACGAGGTGGCGCATGGGGCTCCCCCCGCCCCGCTGCTGGTGCTCTCTGCCGCCGCCAACGAGGGCAGCGGAAAGGCGAGGTCTGGCGCACCGCTGCCCCATGTTCCCGTGCCCCATGCGCCCCTGCCCCATGCGTCAGTGCCCAATGCGCCCCTGCCCCATGCGTCAGTGCCCCATGCGCCACTGCACCAGCCGCTGCACGAGCGTGCATCCCCGGGTGAGGGTCCTCCTCTCCCCATTGAACTCTCCGCCACTGCTGCGGGTGGTGGCGATGGAGCCTCGGGAATGGGAGGAAGAGAGGCGGGGAACGCGGAGGAGGTTGCTGGGCTGGTTGCAAGGCCAGGAAGACATGAGGAGAGGGGAGATCGAGATGGAGGAGGGGGAGGGGGCGACGAGGGGAGGCGAAATAGAGGAGGCGGAATGAGTGGCGAGGGGAGGAGCAGCCCTTGGCTGCACCACGCGACGATGCATCATCAACGGTTGCAGGGAGGCGAGAGTAAGGAGGATCAGCAGCAGCAGGCAGGGGAGGGGGTCGGTGCCGGTGATGCAATCGGTGAGGGTGGGGGGCGCAAGGAAGGGGCGGGGCACGGGAGGTGGCACGTGCATGGTGCAGTGGAGCGCGATAGTAATCACGGTGATGCACCCATGGGCGCTGGGCTGTACTTGCACCCCACCACTCACACACAGCCGGTGCAGCCGATGCAGCACATGCAGCACACACAACTCGCACAGCAGAATCAGCAGGTGCAGCAGGAGCAGCACACACAGCAGCAGCAGCAGCAGGAGCAGGAGCAGGAGCAGGGCGGGGAAGGGGCTGGAGGGGTGCAGGTGGCAGAGGTGGGTGACGTGAGGAGGCGAGGAGGAGGCCATGGCAGCTCATTCCAGGAGGAGAGCCACTTCCAGGGCAGCACAGAGCACGGGAAGGATGCAGGCAGTCAGCAGCACGGGAACGATGCAGGCAGTCAGCAGCACGCGAGGGGCGAAGGCGACACACTGCAGGGGGCTGGCGGCGTGGCGTGGGGTACGGATTTTGTAGGCGGGAGGGAGGAGAGGCGAGGTGAGGTGAGGGGAAGCGGGCGAGTGCATGGCGAGAGGGCGCCGAAGGAGGAGGCGCGGGAGGGGAGGGCGGAGGGGGCAGCCGAGGCAAGGGCCGAGGGTGGGGATGAAGACACGAGCTGGATTGTGCAAGAGGGGCAGCAGCACCGACCAGCACTGCACACGCGGCCGACGGTGCTGCAGCAGGGTGTGGAGGGGCATAAGGGGACGGAGGGGGCAGCAGAGGCATTGGCTGAGGGTGGGGATGAAAACACGAGCTGGGTTGTGCATGAGGGGCAACAGCACCGACCAGCACTGCACACGCGGCCAATGGTGACTTTTGAGACGCCTCAAAAGGCGGAGTGGGCGGCAGAGGCACTGGGTGAGGACTGGGATGAAGACACAAGCTGGATTGTGCAAGACGGGCAGCAGCACCGACCAGCGCTGCACACGCGGCCAACAGTGCTGCGGCAGGGTGTGGAGGGGCATTGGGGGGCGGAGGGGGCAGCAGAGGCAATGGCTGGGGGTGGGGATGAAGATACGAACTGGATTGTGCAAGAGGGGCAGCATCACCGACCAGTGCTGCACACGCAGTCAACAGTGCTGCAGCAGGGAGTGGAGGGGCACAGCAGGGCGGAGGGGGCAAAGGCAATGGCTGAGGATGGGGATGAAGACACGAGCTGGGTTGTGCATGAGGGGCAGCAGCACCGACAAGCACTGCACAGGCGGCCGACGGTGTTGCGTCAGGGAATGGAGGGGCACAGCAGGGCGGAGGGGGCAGCAGAGGCAATGGCTGAGGGCGGGGATGAAGACACGAGCTCGGTTCTGCATGAGGGGCAGCAGCACCGACCAATGCTGCACTTGCGGCCACCAGTGCTGCGGCAGGGCGTGAAGGGACACAGCGGGGCGGAGGGCGCATGGGCGGAGGTTGGGAGGATGGGGAGTGAGACAGAGGTGATGTCTCGGCATGGGGATCCGGGGGAGGTTGTCGGGAAGCTGCAGATAGAGCAGCACCGGCCAGCACTGCATGAGGGGCTGATGGCGCAGCAGCATGGCGAGGGGAGTTTCCACAGCGGGGCGGGAGGGGCAGCGCGAAGGCGAGGCGAGGCAGGCAGGCAAGGAGGCGAGGAGGGATGGGAGGCAGCAGGCACGGGGGAAGTGGGCGTGAGGGGCGGAGGGCGTGGGGTGCAGAGCGAGCGCGTAGGTGGGCATGAAGAGGCAGCTGTGCTGGAGGCGCGGGTAGGGGAGCCGGGGGAGGTGGCTGGCAGCGGGAGAGTGCAGGACAGCAAGCAAGGGCTGGGCAGCATGGATGGGGTGGGCAGTGTTGGATGGAGCAGGGGTGGCTTTGGCGCTGGTGGGCAGGGGACGGCAGTACACCGCAGCGCTTGGCACACAGCGCATGGCGGGGTTGGTGAGAGGCATGAGAGGAGCGAGAGGAGTGAGAGGAGTGAGAGGAGTGAGAGGAGTGAGAGGAGTGAGAGGAGTGAGAGGAGTGAGAGGAGTGAGAGGAGTGAGAGGGCAGAGAGGGGTAGGGAAGAGGAGGGGCCGCAGGAGGGGATGCAGGTGGATCAGATTGATGTGCGGGTTGAGGTGGGCGGTGGGAAGAATGGGGTGATGGGACAGGGGCAGTGGCAGCAGCAGCAAGTGGATGGGGGTGTTGACCTGCTGACGCCACACCATATGTCGCTGCACCAGCAGCACCAAGCGCGCCACCACATCTCCTCTCCGCCCTCCTCCGTGCCCGCAGCCCATGCCCCGCCCATCCCCGTCACGCCTCTCACTTCTTTTGCACCCCGCCTCCCTGCTTCCGCCAGCAGCTTCAGCGATGCAGCCAGCAGCAGCAGCAGCAGCAGCAGTGGCGGCAGTGTGAGATTGGATGCAGAAGCAGCCGCCGCAGCAGGGGGTGGGGTTGGGGGTGGGGGTGCGGGGATGAGTGCAGCAGGGGGGAGGATAGACTGGCAGTCGGTGGAGACGGACAAGCAAGTGCTGCTCAACCTCAAGCTGCACGTGCTTAGTGACCCCTCAGGTGTGCACATGCTGCCATGCAGCACATGCCATGTGCTTTTATGTGCTGCCATGCAGCACATGCCATGTGCTTTTATGTGCTGCCATGCGGCACATGCCATGTGCTTTTATGTGCTGCCATGCGGCACATGCCATGGGCTTTTATGTGCTGCCATGCGGCACATGCCATGTGCTTTTATGTGCTGCCATGCGGCACATGCCATGTGCTTTTATGTGCTGCCATGCGGCACATGCCATGTGCTTTTATGTGCTGCCATGCGGCACATGCCATGTGCTTTTATGTGCTGCCATGCGGCACATGCCATGTGCTTTTATGTGCTGCCATGCGGCACATGCCATGTGCTTTTATGTGCTGCCATGCGGCACATGCCATGTGCTTTTATGTGCTGCCATGCGGCACATGCCATGTGCTTTTGTGTGCTGCCATGTGCCGCTTTTCCTTCCGTTTTCCTTTCCCTCACCTCTCCACTCTTTCCAATCCCCTGCCCGCCCCCCTGTCCCACCGCCCCTCCGCCAGGCACGTTGGATAACTGGAATCCAAAGGACCCCACCCCCTGCTCCTGGACTGGCGTACAGTGTAACCCCTTCTCACAGCAGGTCAGAGCAACCACTTCTCCCAGCAGCATGTTAGTGTTTTTTTTTTTTTTTTTTTTTTTCCTTTGGTTGTCCCATCCCCCCGCCTCATCTCTGCCTCACCTCCCCTAGGATCTGCGAAGATAACTCTATCACGGGAGCTAAACTACGGGCTAGACACGGGGTAGGAGGGATCTCTGCGTTCGTTCACTCAGTCGTTTATTCGTGATTGCACTACTTGCTGGTTCACGGGGGAATTTGACAAGAGTTCCCGTTGCAAAAGTTCACAACAATGGTGGCAACAACATTGGCATCACAGACTACATCAGAGCTAGCTAGGCTGCTGGTCGACCTCCAGCGCAGCATGGTCGACCGCGCTCCAGCGCAGCAGCGCTCGCACCGCTCCAGCGTTGCAGAGTAGTGGTTCGCCAACGTTGCAAGTCCACGGTGTGCCAACGCTGCAGCAAGTCGGCTGCACAGCGTTGCACCCGCAGGACAACGGTGCACCTGCTTCGCAGGTGCGCGCAGCTGGTTGGCGCTCCACACCTTGTCACGCGCATAGCGCAGACACCTGGCAGACTCCACGCTAGCGACTGCGCCCACCAGCCTGTGGACCTCGGGATACCACCCCCGAGGTCGGCCTCGCAGTTCCACCCCGGCGACCTTCGCACACGTCGCCCGGGTATCCCGGTCGACCGGGCAACCTCGCCTGGTCGACCAGCTTAGTCGGTCGCCGGCTGCACAAGCCAGGCGTCCCTAGTTCGCCATCCAGGTGCCCAGGACGCCGTCCAGATGCCCAGGTCGGCGTCCAGCCTCCCAGGACGCCGTCCTGGCGTCCAGGACGTCGACCAGGCGTCCAGGACGGCGTCCTCCTGCTCGGCGCCCTCCAGCCAAGCGCCCTCCAGCTCGGCGCCCTTGCAGTGGCCCCCGTGCCCACTGCTGTAGGTCGGCTGCATCCCCTGCACATCCGACCACGAGGTCGGCTCCGCCCAAGCGAGGACGGGGCCACACGACACTCCCGTTGACAGGATCCACCACTGGGCGTACTCACATTGCTGTCTCTTTCTCCCTCTCCCTGCCTCCCTCTTCCCTCCACCAGGTGGTGCGGCTAGACCTATCAGCAGCGTCACTGCTGGGCCATCTGGCCTTTCAGGACCACCCGCTGGGTGCGCTGACATCGCTGTTGTTCTCTTTCCATGTTTCCTTGCTTCCCTCCCCTCCACCCCCCACCAGGTGGTGGGACTAGACCTCTCAGCAGCATCTCTCCTAGGCGACTTTGCTTTCCAGGACCCGCCTCTGGGCACACTCACATCGCTGTCTTGTCGGGTTGTCCCCTCTCCCCTGTCCCTCTCCCCCCTCTTCCCCCAACACCAGGTGGTGGGTCTAGACCTCTCAGCAGCGTCGCTCCAGGGTGACTTGGCCTTTCAGGACCCGCCTCTGGGCGCGCTCACATCACTGCAGCGCCTGCAGCTGGCCGACAACCTCTTCTCGGGCTCCATCCCCGACTCGCTTTCTTCTATCCGCAGCCTGCAGGTGAGATGGGACCAACGCGTGAGCACACAGGTTAGGCCACACAAGAGACCACAGCCCCCCTCCCTGCAGCTGGCCGACAACCTCTTCTCCGGCTCCATCCCCGACTCGCTCTCTGCCATCCGCAGCCTGCAGGTGAGGTCAACGCCTGGGTGAGGTCAACGCATGGGTGAGGTCAACGCCTGGGTGAGGTCAACGCCTGGGTGAGGTCCGTGAGGACGCGGACACTAGCATCGATTTAGGCAGGATCGGGTCTTCACTGCACACCAATCCTCCCATTAGGTCTTGTGATCGGTTGTGGCGTGGGCTTGCGGGCTACATCTACGATCTGGGCCGTCGTTATGAGCACGATCGCAAAAGGGGGGTGTACTGTGCAAAGCGATCGACTGGCCCAAACTTTTTAACAAGCGTCACACCTTTCGCAAGGCGACCCAGTTCACCAAGCACGACTCGAAAACCCATTTCGCCAAGTGTATTATCGTTTTTGCCAAACCCGGCGCATACACATTTCGCGAGTCTTGGCAGGCGATTGATCGTGCTTGACCTTACCACATGCATCACAATCGGGTGACCAACATGAATCTCGACATGATCGGTTGCCCGGGTGAGGCCCCCAAAAGCAAACGCTGCAGTAACACTGTAATAGTTACTGTATTGTTCTACAGTAACCGGTAACACAGAAACCACCCCCGCGATTGATTCCATCAATCAATGACGATCTCGATGCGAGTGTCCACGTCCTGAGGTCAATGCATCTCATGCCAGGTGTGTTTCGAGTCGACTCAAAGTACACGAGTTGCCGGGGCCCCCCTCCCAGCACCTGGCCGGCAACTCCATCCCCGACTCGCTCTCTGCCATCCGCAGCCTGCAGGTGAGGCAAGCGCAGGCTCTCCATCAACACAGTTTCAATGCATCTGGACGTCAGTGCATGAGCACACTAAACCTCACTGCAGCTGGCCGTCAAACCCCGACTCCCTCTCTGCCATCCGCAGCCTGCAGGTGAAATCAAAGCATGCGCATGCAGGTGAGGTCAATGCCTTGTGCACATGGGATCTCATCCCACTTGCAAGAGTGAATGGAGCTAGAGACCTCTTCTCCAACCTGCCTTCCCTGTCCGCCTCCCCGTCCCCCTCTTCATCCCCTTCCCTATCCCCCTCCACGTCTCCCTCCGTTCCCCCCTCCCCCGTCCCTCCCCTCCTCAGGTGCTAGAGCTAGCCAACAACGAGTTGGATGGCATCATCCCCCCCACGCTCTTCTCCAACGTGCCCTCCCTCGCCACCGTTGACCTCAGTGACAACACCCTCTCAGGCCCGCTGCCCCAGGACGTCTCCGCCTTGCAGTCGCTGCTCTCGCTGGACGTCAGTGGTAACCGCCTCGAGGGGCCGCTGCCGGACAATCTGTCGCAGCTGCGGCAGGTGTCGCAGCTGGTGCTGGATGGGAACAAGGGGCTAAGTGGGTCGCTCAGTCCTGCTGTCCTCGGGTCTCTGCCCTCATTGCAGGTGTGTGCAACTGTGTGTTTCTGTGTATTCCTGCTGGATGGCAACAAAGGGCTCTCTGGGTCATTGAGTCCTGCTGTGCTGGGCGCACTGCCGTCCCTGCAGGTGCGCGATTTGTGTGTGTGCGTGTGCGCGAGCGTGGTATGGCTGGTGCTAGATGGCAATGTGGGGTTTACCGGGCCGCCCAACCCTGCTGCCCTCAGCTAGCTGCCCACGCTGCAGGTGCATGCGATGCGAGTGTGAGTGTGTGTGACTGTGAGTGTGTGAGTGTGGATTTGTATGTGTGAGAATGGGTGTGTGGAATTAGCTACCATAGTGCACTACAACGTGTTTGACTCAACTTTTTGTGCTCGGCGCCCCGGCCTTCCTCACGTCTCTTCACCTCTCGTCGCCCCTCATCCCCCCTTCAAACCCACCAGGTGATCTCAGCTCGAGGCTGCAGCTTCAGCGGCTTCCTGCCGCCCGCTCTCGGCTACGCGCCGCGCCTGCAATCATTGGATCTGGGCGGCAACCAGCTGGCGGGCGGCATACCGCCCACGTGGGGGCAGATGGGCAGCTTGACCTCTCTGGTGATGGACGGCAACCAGCTGTCTGAAAGCATCCCCTCCGCCCTCAACGGACTGTCGGCTCTGCAGGTGGGATTCAACTTGAATAAGTCAAGGACAGAGGTGGAGGGAAGGTGAGGGAGAGAGGGAGGGATGGGATGGGGGGTTGTATAAGGCAGGGTATCAGGGTGGGTTTAAGTGGGGTGAGGGGTTGCGTCCACCTGCGGCCCCAGACGAACCGGTCCGGTTCGACTTGAATATCCCAAAGCGGCTTGACATTCGGCTGTGCCAAATGGGCAGCCTGACCTCTCTTGAGGCGCCTCAAAAGTCGCCAAATGGGCAGCCTGACCTCTCTTGAGGCGCCTCAAAAGTCGCCAAATGGGCAGCCTGACCTCTCTTGAGGCGCCTCAAAAGTCGCCAAATGGGCAGCCTGACCTCTCTTGAGGCGCCTCAAAAGTCGCCAAATGGGCAGCCTGACCTCTCTTGAGGCGCCTCAAAAGTCGCCAAATGGGCAGCCTGACCTCTCTGGTGATGGCCGGCAACCAGCTGTCTGATTGCATCTTCTCTGCTCTTGGTGGCCTCTCCGCCCTGCTGGTGGGGTTGTATAAGGCAGGGTGGGTTCAAGCGTCAAGTGGGGTGATGGTTGGTTCTCGTCCGCCCTGCAGGGGGTGGGTGAAGGTGGGGTAGAATGCAGGGGAAAAGAAACTGGTTTGGCACAGTGCGGGGATAAGAAAGAAGGTCCGGAGATGAATTGGCTCGGCACGTTTTGAACCAACAACACACACTGCTCACGTCCATCTCCTTGCAACAAACCCACTCCACTGTTTCCTCTCAACCCACCCTCTTGGTCTCTCCCTCCCTCCTCTCATGCCTGCCTGCCTGCCTCCTTCCTGCCCGCCTGCCTCCCACCTGCCCCCCTCATCCCCACTCAACAGAGGCTGGATGTGAGCAGCAACGGGCTCAGCGGCACCATCCCAACCCTCAATGGGCTCACAGCGCTCACCGCTCTCAACCTCTCTGCAAACCAGCTCTCCGGACCCATTCCCACCGACGGCGTCCTAGGAAGCTTCCCACCCTCTTCCTTTGCCGGCAACCCTGGCCTCTGCACTGGGAACTGCGCCTCTCCCCCTGCTGTCCGCCCTCCCCCTACCATTGCTCCCCCCATCTTCCCCCCGCCTACGCTCTTCCCCCTGCCCGTCCCCATGGCCCCTCTCCCCCCGCTCTCCCCTCCCCCACCCCCTTATGTTGAGCCTCCGCCCTACAGTCCTCCCATTCCGCCCCCAATTCGCTCCCCCCCACCTGCTCCTCGCCCCCCTCCCCTCTCCCCCCGACCTCCCCCCCGCTCCCCCCCCCGCTCTCCCCCACTCCCCCCTTCCCTGCGCCCTCCTCCCATTCCCCCCAAGCCGCCCTCCTTAAGTCCCCCTCCCATCCCACCCACTCTCCCGCCCTTCCCACCCCCTGCCTCCCCCAAACCACCCCCTCCTCTCTTGAAGCCGCCCTCCCCTCCTCGCTCACCTCCCCCCCGCCCCCCTCCCATTCCGCCCCGTTTGCCCCCTCCCTTTCCCCCTCCCGTTCCCCCTCCCGTGCCCCCTCCTGTTCCTCCACCCAGCCCCCCTCTTTCCCCTCCTCGCCCTCCTCCACTCCCCCCTCCGCTCCCCCCTCCGCGCCCACCTCCCCGCCCCCCTCCTCACCCCCCTCCTCTCCCTCCGCCTCCCTCGCCTCCCCCATCCCCCCCACCTCTCCCCCCACCAAGTCCCCCAAGTCCCCCTCCCCGCCCACCCCCTTCTCCCCCGCCCTCCCCTCCTCCCCCAAGCCCACCACCACCCCAACCCCCCCCATCCCCTCCCCCTTCCCCCCCTCCCTCCCCTCCTCCATCCCCTCCCCCACCATCCCCGCCATCACCCCCACCCCCTTCCCCACCTCCCCTCCCCCCATCCCCTCCCCCGCCACCATCACCCCCACCATCCCCCCCATCTCCCCCTTCCCCTCCGCCTCCCCCATCACCCCCTTCCCCCCCATCCATCTTCGCCCCCCCCCAGCTGCTCAACCGCATGGTGCTACCATCCAACACCACCAAGCCCATGCCAGTCAGTGCCATATTCGCCTTCTCCCTCTCAGCGGTGCTCGGCGCGCTGCTCATGGGCGTCTGTTTCACCATCAACCAGCCCTACTCCTCCTCCTCTGGCCAATCGCGCGCGTGGGCAGCAGCAGGGGCAGGGGGTGGGGGCGGTGCGGGGGGCGGTGGAGGGGTGCTGGGGGGTTTTTTAGGGGGAGGAGGGGGGGAGGGAGGGGGGGCTAAAATGGGGATACTGGGGGCGGCAGGGGGGGCGATGGCAGGGGCGGCAGCGGGGATTGCGGGCGGCAGGCACTCGTCAGCATCCCAGCAGCTTGTCACAATGTTTAACGGTCAGACAATGCATGTGGATGACCTCCGGGCAGCCACGGAAAATTTCGGGCCCGGGCAGATGATGGTGGGCGGGGCGGGGCCGAGCGGGGCAGTGTCGTTTCTGGCTGAGATGGCGGACGGGGCGGCGGTTTTTGTTGCGAAGCAGCTGCCGCCCCTGCTGGGGGGAGATGCCGTCAACTTTGTGTTCGAGGTGAGTCTGGGGGGGGGGGGAGAAGGGGAAAGGGAGAGGCGCGGGTTGGAGGGAGAGGCATGGTAGCGTGTGGGAGGGGGGGGGGGGAGGAGGGGTTTGTGAGTGGAGAGGAGGGGAGAGGAGGGGAGAGGGGTGTGGGAAAGGGGAGCAAGGAGAGGCGGGGCATGGTAAGGGAGAGAAGGGGTATGGGAGGAGAAAGGATGGGGGAGAGAGGAGGGAAGGATAGGGGATGGGGGTGGGGGAAGGAGAGGAGGGAGAAAGTTGGAAGAATTTTCCAAATGATCAAATAGCTGGCATGATGATGCACATTCTACCGAGCACCGCATTGAGCTTCCACCTGCTCCAACCATGTTGCACCACTACATCTTACCACCACACAATATCACCACCCAGCAGCGCCACACATACACAGCACCACCATACACCCCAAAACCCCACCTTCTCCCAACCTTGCGAGCAGCGTGAGGCACGCCTGCGAGCAGCGGCGAGGCAAGACAACATTCTGCCAGTGGTGAGGTGCTGGAAGGACGCCTGTTGATACATCTCAGACTCAATCCCACTCTCCCCACCTTGCCCTCCTCCCCCGCTACCTATGCAGCACGAGGCACGGCTGCTATCAGCAGTGCGGCATGACAACATTCTGCCGGTGGTGGGGTGCTGGGAGGGCCCCCTTTGAGACGTCTCAAATCTCAATGTCAAACCCCCTGCTCCCCCCTTGCCCACCTATGCAGCACGAGGCACGGCTGCTATCAGCAGTGCGGCATGACAACATTCTGCCGGTGGTGGGATGCTGGGAGGGCGCAGGCGGGTCAGGCGAGGCCATGCGCGTGCTGCTGTACGACTACATGCCCAACGGGGACCTTCGGGAGTTCCTATACGATGAGGTCAGCTGCCTTGATACGAATGACCTTGCTGCTACCCTCCCACATGCCTCATGTGTTGCTGTACGACTACATGCCCAATGGGGACCTGCGAGAGTTCCTGTATGACGAGGTCAGTCATACATGTGCAACGGTGACATGCCACATATGCTGCTGTACATGTGTGAGACTAGTGGGTCAGGCGAGTCCATGAGGGTGTTGCTGTACGACTACATGCCCCATGGGGACCTGCGGGAGTTCCTGTATGACGAGGTCAGTTCCCACATGCCACATGTGCTGTTGTGCCGTTGCATGCCACTTGTGGTGGTACTAGTGGGTCGACTGAGTCCATGCGCGTTTTGCTGTAGGACTACATGCCCAATGGGGACCTGCGGGAGTTCCTGTATGACGAGGTCAGTTCCCACATGCCATGCCACATGTGCTGTAGGACTACATGCCCTATGGGGTCCTGCTCCCTTCCTCTATGATGAGGTGAGTTCTTTTTACATGCCACATGTACTGCTGCCCCACATCTACTGCTGCCCCACATGTACTGCTGCCCCACATGTACTGTTGCCCCACGTGTACTGCTGCCCCACATGTGCTGCTGCCCCACGTGTACTGCTGCCCCACATGCGACACAGTGTGCTGGCGCACATGCCCTTCCCCCACCATCACCTGCCTGCTTCGCCCTGACCACATCCGCTCCTGCTTCGCCCTGACCACATCCGCTCCTGCTTCGCCCTGACCACATCCGCTCCTGCTTCGCCCTGACCACATCCGCTCCTGCTTCGCCCTGACCACATCCGCTCCTGCTTCGCCCTGACCACATCCGCTCCTGCTTCGCCCTGACCACATCCGCTCCTGCTTCGCCCTGACCACATCCGCTCCTGCTTCGCCCTGACCACATCACCTGCCTGCTTCGCCCTGACCACATCCGCTCCTGCTTCGCCCTGACCACATCCGCTCCTGCTTCGCCCTGACCACATCCGCTCCTGCTTCGCCCTGACCACATCCGCTCCTGCTTCGCCCTGACCACATCCGCTCCTGCTTCGCCCTGACCACATCCGCTCCTGCTTCGCCCTGACCACATCCGCTCCTGCTTCGCCCTGACCACATCCGCTCCTGCTTCGCCCTGACCACATCACCTGCCTGCTTCGCCCTGACCACATCCGCTCCTGCTTCGCCCTGACCACATCCGCTCCTGCTTCGCCCTGACCACATCCGCTCCTGCTTCGCCCTGACCACATCCGCTCCTGCTTCGCCCTGACCACATCCGCTCCTGCTTCGCCCTGACCACATCCGCTCCTGCTTCGCCCTGACCACATCCGCTCCTGCTTCGCCCTGACCACATCCGCTCCTGCTTCGCCCTGACCACATCCGCTCCTGCTTCGCCCTGACCACATCCGCTCCTGCTTCGCCCTGACCACATCCGCTCCTGCTTCGCCCTGACCACATCCGCTCCTGCTTCGCCCTGACCACATCCGCTCCTGCTTCGCCCTGACCACATCCGCTCCTGCTTCGCCCTGACCACATCCGCTCCTGCTTCGCCCTGACCACATCCGCTCCTGCTTCGCCCTGACCACATCCGCTCCTGCTTCGCCCTGACCACATCCGCTCCTGCTTCGCCCTGACCACATCCGCTCCTGCTTCGCCCTGACCACATCCGCTCATGCTTCGCCCTGACCACATCCGCTCCACCGCCGTCACTTGCTACCGTTGCTTGCGCCCCACCCTGCACCTCCCACCTCACACTTCTGCCCCTCCTCTCTCATCCTCCGCATCCCTCCTACTCGCTCTCCTCCCCACGCCACGCATCTCGCAAGTCGCTGCAGTGGCTGGTGCTTTTCTGAGTGGTCATGGGGGTGGCAAGGGAGTCACTTTTGAAAATTTCAAAAAGTCATCCTACCCATCCCTCTTGCCCGCTCTCCTCCCGACCGCCAGCTGGCGTCACGCAAGTCGCTGCAGTGGCCGGTGCGCTTCCGGGTGGCCATGGGGGTGGCACGCGGCCTCGCCTTCCTGCACAGCGGGGTGGGCGGCGCGGGCGGCATGGGCGGCGGGCCGATGGCGCATGGGGCGGTGCATCCGGGGAATGTGCTGCTGGACGGCCGCATGGAGCCAAAACTTGCCGACATGGGCGTGGCTCGGATTGCATTTGATACGGATGATGTGCAAGTGGCCGATGAGATCATGGGGTACACGCCGCCCGGTATGTGCGGATGGGATCATGCGGATGGGATCATGCGGATGGGATCCCCCTCTCCTCTCCAGTACTCAGCACTCCAGCTGATTGCACCTTTCGAGTCATGCTGTCAGGGGTCCTCACAAGCCATCTCCCCGTGAAAACAACATAGCATAGTGGAATGGTCGACCTCATCACAACTCCCTCCCCACTTTCTCCCTTGTCCCCTTGCCGCCGTGCTCCCACCACTCCCGCCCATCCCCCAGAGTACTCAGCAGATCGCACCCCCCCCCAACCCCAGAAGGCGATGTGTGCAGCTTCGCTGTGGTCCTCCTCAAGCTGCTCACCGCTCGCCCTCCACTGGACCCGGCCTTCACTGACAACAGCACAGGGGACCTCGTCGCATCTCCCTGACCCCTCCTCTATTTCCTCTATTTCCTCGCGCCCTTGCCCCTTGGCCCCTGACCCCGCTACCCCCCTCTGTCCCCTCTTCCTTCCCCTCCTGCCCATCCCCCAGAATACTCCGCCGGCCCCACCCGTCCAACCCCAGCCGGCGACGTCTACAGCTTCGGCGTTGTGCTCCTCGAACTCCTCACCGCCCACCCACCCATGCCCCCCTGTTTCCCCCTTTCCCCCTCCCCGCTCCTCCCATCCCCCAGAATATTCAGCGGGCCCCACCCCTCCAACCCCAGCCGGCGACGTGTACAGCTTCGGGGTGGTTTTGCTCGAGCTGCTCACAGCGCGCCCGCCAGTGGACCCGGCCTTCACAGACAACGGCACGGGCGACCTCATAGGGTGGGTGCGCGCCACCATACAGGCGGGGCAGCCGGGGGAGGCGCTGGATCCGCGCATGGCGGACGCGGCGGAGAGTGGCGACGAGATGCTGCAGTTCCTCAAGGTGGCGCTGGTGTGCGTGGCAGAGGATGGGGATGAGCGGCCGATGATGCGCGAGGTGGTGGAGATGATGGTCAGGGCGCGAGAGACCGCGGCGAAGATCCGAGAGAACCCTCAGATCAGGGACTTGCTGGAGTGAGAGGGAGTTGTTGTGGAAGAGAGGGGTGGGTGCGTGCGCTGCAGCGGTCTTGCAGTGCAGCAGGGAGCACTGGGGGGAGGTGGTTGACATGGTGCGGGAGAGGGAACTGCGATTAAGGCCCGCGAGAAGGAGTGAAGGGAGGGTTGGAGTGATGTGAATGTTGTGGGTTTATGCAGTGCAGTGGAAGGAGCAGAACCGCAACGGATGAGGATATGATTTTGTGTTGCATGTTGCTCTGCAGCACTGCTTTTGTTGTGGTTCTGCTATGCTTAGGAAGGAGTCTTAGCAGAGGGAGCACAGCCATGAAACTTCATACTGTCATCGCCCGGAAGATAAGACATATATGTCTTATCTTATACACTAGAAAAAATACTTGGGTTGTCTTGTAATTTGGGTGGTTTAGGGTGTCTTATAATTCTTATAAATGGACAAAGAACCGTTTAGAAGATAACCCCTCGTCATAAGATTACCCCTAACCCCTACACTGGCTTAACTCGTACACATCGACAGGTGTCTTATAATCAGGAACACCCATTTATAAGATACACCTGTTGGAAACAATCGATCTTAAGCGCCTCTGTCGTGTCGAAACACTAAGGCACAAACGAAGCGAAGCAAATCGAAGCACCGGCGAGTCAACCCTCGGAGGTTGAAAGTAACTGTTGGAGGTTACGCGAAAGTCAAAGGTCAGCGACCTTTGACTTGACAAAGTACAGCGCGACAGCAAGGACACACAACTGACTCGCTACAGAGCAGTTGCCCGAGTCGTCACTGTATCGAACCGCAACAGCAACAGTAAAACAGTTATAACTGTACCCCTTCATATTCCTTGTACTCTTATATAATCTTGTATCTCTTTGCTTTAATCAATCGACTTTGCCCTCACATACTAGCGCAAGGTGGTTCAAACACTTCTCATTAAGCTTCCGCTATTACATCAGTCCTACCCGGAATTCACTCCTGCAAAGATCCTAAGGGCTTTTCTCAGCCCAACATGGTATGAGAGCTATCAGGGGGAATTCAACTATCAAAACACCTACAACATCAGAAGACATGGCTACTCAGAAGGAAAGGAGTTCCTCTATTGGTTCTCCCGGCACTACTCCTACTCCACCTCCTGCCTCTGGCCTACAGACAGAGGAGGGTACGGCAACAAGACCCAGGGCAACATCCAACGAGACTCCTGCGAATCAACCTGCAGGCTTCGACCAGAGCATGATGGAGAAGTTTTTCTCCTTCATGTCCTTCTACGAGCAACACCAGCAATCGGTACCTGCGCAGTCACACAACAGCAACAACAACGACGTTACTCCAATGAGCCTTGACGGTTCATCCTACGCACGTGGAAATCAACAGCAGCAACCTACCTTTGCTCCGTACGAGCCCCAGCGCGGCTCCGCCAGCTTTATGCCACAACCGCAGCCTGCACCTAGACAGGAGAAACCACTGGACGCACTTCAAGTTCAGTCGCAGTTCGCGCACGTTTTAAAACTGCAGACGCCGAGGCCTTTCGACGGAAAGGACTTCTTCACCTGGTCGTTCGAGTTCGAGTTAATGATGGAAGGCGCGCAGATTCTTGGCTTCTTCGACGGATCCCTGCCATACCCAACAAACGGCACACAGTACGAGAAGCAGCAGTACACCTATCAGTCAATGATGGCGTATACAATTCTACTGAGGAACATCACCCCGAACCAGCAGCAGAATATACGATCTTACCGGGGATACGGCAACTCCGCCGAACTCGCATACAGCCACTTGAAGAACCTGTACCAAGCAACAGACAGCGTCAATCAGAGTCGGCTAATGGCGCAGTTGACAACAGTGGAAATGAAACCAGGCGAAAAGGGAATAGCGTATATCAGCCGCTGTCGCGAGTTGCGCGACAAACTCCTTTGATGCGGAGGGTCAATATCTGAAGACGCCTTCGTGACAGTCATCATCGGCGGCCTCGGTCCTCAATGGCGCGCCACAAAGGCCATTCTCCGAGCTCATGGGAGAATCTCCGAAGCAGCACTCTGCGCAGAAATACACGCCGAGCAACAAGACATGGACCTGCAAGAGGAACGGCACAAGAAGAAAGCATCAGCACCCGAATTCGCGTTTCACACTCAGCGACGCTACAACAACAACAACAACCGACAACAACCAAAGCCCGTACCTCCGTTCTGCCATCTCTGCAAGACGTCAGGACACCCGCGCACACACTGCCCGAATCGACAACAGTCAACACCGCCACAACGGCAGCTTCGACCCGACATATGCAGCCATCGCCTAGAGCGAGCCATCCGGGAAAGACACCTGGTTCTTGGACAGTTGCTGCGGACAGCACATGTGCTCTTCAGGACGCTTCGTGCAGCAAGAGTACCAACTCCAACGCGAAGTAGTCATCACCGTCGCCAACAACCAGAACCTGCGCACACGACGACAAGGCGTGGTTCAACTTCAGTCAAGAGAGACAAACGTTATACTACAGATGTCAAAGGTATTAATCGCGGAGGAACTCGGCTACAACTTACTGAGCGTCAGCCAGTTGATGGCAAAAGGCATTCACCTCGAAGCAGACAGCACCACCCAGGAGTTCAAGTTGTACCACGGGAGAGGAGGTCTCTACATCGGCAAAGCAGTCTTGAAGAACAATGTCTTCGTTCTCGACTTCGTTCCAGACCTCGGCACCGCCGACAGCGACGGCATCGTCACCTTCACGTCTTGGACACATCCACCGGATCTTGACCCAGACTTCAGCCCCGACGGTTTCTGGTATTCACACACGATACCTGAAGCAGAAAGAACAAGAGCGTTAGCAACAATTCAACATTCGGCAGCAGCAGAAACAACATCGGCAGCAGCAGAGACAACATCGGCAGCAGCAGAGACAACATCAGCAGCAGCAGAGACAACAACGGCAGCAACAGAGACAACGGAGAGAACAGCGGCAACATCAACACCAATCGCTGGTCCTTCAACGGCACCGATCTTCGTCGATGACACACCACCGACACCCGCGCAGCAACTGCACCCAGCACCACGAGAAGTTCATCGAAGCGCCAACTTCACCGCCAGCTTCTACTCCAACTCCGACATGTACCGACGTTCACCCGGACACCGCGCCAGCGAAGAAATCTGGCATGCACGAATGGGACACCCAAGCAACACAATGTTAAACAACACGATAAGAGCAGGAGTGCTCGACAAAGATTCGCTCCTACTACATGACGGAAGAGAACTCCAACGAGCAAAAGGGACATGCTTCACATGTCCTGAAGCCGACTTACCGCATCAACCGTTTGTCCCTCACCACAATCCGAGTGCACCAGCATACGCACCGCTTGAAAAGGTGTGCAGCGACATCCTGTACAACCGCGTACCAGGACAAGGAGCTTACAACTACACCATCCCCTTCATCGACGCCGCCACCCGATACGTTTGGCACCTGAACCTTCCGAGTCGCGACATGGCTTTCGAAGCCTTCGTTGCCTGGCTTCCAGCAGCAGAACGAGAGTCCGGAGTGAAACTAAAGAGTTTTCGGTCAGATGGAGGCGGAGAATACACCTCACAACGCTTCAAGGACTACCTGGCAGAGAAGGGAATCAAGAGGCTCATCTCCCTTCCTTACGCCCATCAACAGCAGAGTGTAGCAGAAAGGATGAACAGGACCCTCCAGAACACCATGCGCAAGCTGCTACGTGGCATGCGGCTACCCAACCACCAGTGGCCCGAAGCAATGGACCACGCCGTCATGCTGCACAACTTGCTCTCGTCATCATCGCTCCCGAACAACGCATCACCACATCTGCTGTGGACAGGAAAATTGGGCAGCACAAAAATGTTACGAGTCTTCGGCTGCATGGTACAGTACCGACCCCCATCTGCATGAGCCGGCCGATTTTCCCAACGCGCACAGTGGGGACTACACCTGGGCATCGAAAAGAATTACAACGCATGGAAGATTTTCGACGTCCACACCAAGGAAACAGTGGCAGCACGTGATGTGATTTTCTACGAACGACTCACTCTCGACTCCTACCTAGCCAACGTGGAAGAACAACGCGACCTCACCAGTGGACTTCGTGGAGACCGAGCCTTCGCTTCCGCAGCAGACGAAGCTGACTTGGACGAGCAGAACGTGGACACAGCCTCGGAGGAAGCCGGACCTCTCCCGTACTGCTCCGTCGATGTCCCAATGGATGACGAAAACCCTCGCGAAAGCGTCAACGCCGAAGTATTTTACCGCTTCGCCGACAACGGTTACGTTACACCTGCAGAAGTCAACACCAACGAAGCAGAACGCATAGGGCCCAACTTCATACCCGACCCAGAAGCAGGTGACGAAGCAGCCTATCCCGCGGATACCACACTCCCCCGCTACACACAGAGTGGCCTCCAGATACTTGGCCTCGTCACCGCAGTCCACGGCACTGTGATTCCTAAGGAGCCTGCGACAGTTCAGCAGGCTCTTGGGGGGGGAGCACAGGGAAAAGTGGCGCGAAGCCATGGACAGGGAATTGAAGGCATTAGAGGAGGGCAACACCTGGAAAGTTGTCCCTATCGGAGTGGCACGAAACAAGACTATACTCACCGGGAAGTGGGTCTTCCGAGTGAAAACAAAAGCAGATGGCACCATCGACAAATTCAAAGCACGCTGGGTCGTACGTGGCTTCGACCAAGAACACGGACGCGACTTCACCGAGACATTCGCTCCGGTCAGCCGACATACCTCACTGCGAATCCTCCTCGCGATCGCCGCCATGAAGAAGAAGAAGCTGCGACAAATCGACGTCGCGAACGCATTCCTCTACGCACCTGTTGACGCAGAAATCTTCGTCGAATTGCCGCACGGCTCCAACGGTGAGCCCAATCAAGTCTGTCAGCTGCTGAAATCGCTCTACGGCATCAAGCAAGCTCCGCGGCTATGGCAACAATACCTGTACGCTCGCCTCATTCGCATCGGCTTCAAACAACTACCGCACGACCAGGGCATGTACCGGCTCACGAAGGGCACCGACTACATCCTGTTAATCGTCTACGTAGACGATCTACTCTACATCGGCTCGACCGACGGCATCACAACCTGGTTCGAAGGGGAGCTGCAGAAGGACCTCACGCTCACGGTTTCATCCACCATCACACAGTACCTCGGTCTCAACATCCGAGAAGAGGAAGACGCGATCTACCTCAGTGCCGCGAAATACGCCGACACCATCGCCAAGCGCTTCACACTCACACCGACCGTCATCTCCACACCGTACCGCTACACGACAGGAAACAGCAAGGGAAGCTCCGCTCTACTTAAGCCCGCCGGCATACGCGACTACCAGAAGAAACTGGGATGCCTCCTTTTCGCAGCTGTCACCTGCCGCCCGGACCTATCGTACTCTGCAAGTCAGCTCGCCACCTACCTCAAGAAGCCTGAAGCGGAACATCTAGCAGAGCTCGACCGCGCTCTTCACTACCTCGTCAGCACCCCGACGATCGGCCTAACTTACTACAAGAACGCAACTACACCGCCTAAGTTAATCGGCTACGTCGACGCCGATCACGCTGGCGACTCCGACAACAGGCGCTCCCGCACCGGTTACATCTACCGCCTCGAACCTATCGGACCTATCTCTTGGCAGTCGAGCAAGCAGGAATTAATCGCCCTCTCGTCAGCTGAAGCAGAATATATTGCACTCTGTTCAGCCACCAAGGAAGGACTTTACCTTCGCGAACTGCTGGAAGAAGCGAAGCTGGCTCAGTTACCCAGCTTCACTCTGTTCTGCGACAACCTGTCGGCAATTCGCATCGCCAACAAGAACGGCTTCGCGAACAGGACAAAACACATCGCCCTGCGATATTTCTTCGTGAAAGACGAGATCGAGAAAGGGAGGCTCGAGCTGTCATACTGCCCCACGTCCGAGATGGCAGCTGACTACTTGACCAAGAAGCTCGGAAAGCAGAAGTTCGAGTACTGCATGCTGCTGACTGGACAGAGCCACGTCACCAGCAGCGACACTCCAGAAGCGAAGGGGAGTGTTGGAAACAATCGATCTTAAGCGCCTCTGTCGTGTCGAAACACTAAGGCACAAACGAAGCGAAGCATATCGAAGCACCGGCGAGTCAACCCTCGGAGGTTGAAAGTAACTGTTGGAGGTTACGCGAAAGTCAAAGGTCAGCGACCTTTGACCTGACAAAGTACAACGCGACAGCAAGGACACACAACTGACTCGCTACAGAGCAGTTGCCCGAGTCGTCACTGTATCGAACCGCAACAGCAACAGTAAAACAGTTATAACTGTACCCCTTCATATTCCTTGTACTCTTATATAATCTTGTATCTCTTTGCTTTAATCAATCGACTTTGCCCTCACATACTAGCGCAAGGTGGTTCAAACACTTCTCATTAAGCTTCCGCTATTACATCAGTCCTACCCAGAATTCACTCCTGCAAAGATCATAAGGGCTTTTCTCAGCCCAACAACACCCGTTTTAAAGACACCCCGTCTTCAATTCGACACTGTCTTATATCCGGGCGATGACGGTACCATAGATTAAAGCGTTGTAGTCCACGGACCACACCATACAGCAGATGGACTCTGAAGCTCAGATACTGTACACTGGGAGAATTGTAGTTACACCTCAGCTTGCAAAACGTATCAAGCAAACTTCTCAAAGAACTTGCCAGCTTGACACCAATGGGGGATCGATAGAGAGCTACTACGGTATGGTGGCACACACGGCTGCTGACCAGTGCTGCTGCTGATCAGCACCCAACAGTTGTGGGCAAATTCCCTTCCTACAATACTCTACCCTACTTGGCCCCAATGTCCCAAAGGAAATACCCCACTGCAAGCTTTTGTGGGCAATACAGGTACCGAGGCCCGAGGGGCATGCACGTGCTGGAAAATCAAGGAACATGCGAGCCCGGTCTGAGTCCTCTCTGTAGTGTGCACTGATGTGCAGTGACTTCTGTATACACATTGGACGCATCAGTGGCTTTAAGCTGTCAGCGGAGAGAGTTGTCGGTGCAGCCTGCAGTGCGGGGAGAGAGGGGAGGAGTGGAGGAGAAAGGGAGGTTGGGCGAGGAGAAGAGGGGAAAAAAAGAGGTGAGTGAGAGAAGGGGGAGCAGGGGAAGGGAAGGGGAGAGCAGAAGATGCAGAGTCTGGGAGATTGCAGGGCAGCAACAAGCAGGGAGGCAGAGAGTGTGGAGGGAGCAGGCAGAGAGAATATACGTGGCACGATAGCAGCTGGTGCAAGGTGAGAGCACTGTCAGAACATACGAGTGGGGAGGAGGAAAGTGAGAGTGTATTAGTGGGGAGGATGGCCGCAGGGGAGTGGTAGGTGAGGGACAGCAGCACCACAACAAGAGAGGCGAGAGGCAGAGAGTGTGTGCAGGGAGCAGGAAGAGACTGTAATTGGCACATTAGCAGCTAAGAGCGTACGAATGGGGAGGATCGGTGCGGGGGAGTGGTGGGTGAGCCCCAGCAGCACCACCGCCTCCTCCACCAGTGCATGCTGCGTCGCCCGGAACACTCCCAGCACTCGCTCTGTCAGTGCTCCTCTCTGAAGTGTGCGCTGATGGGGGAGAGGAAAATGCAGAAGGGGGGGAAAGGGGCGGGAAGGGGGGGGAAGGGGAGATGGCGCAGGAGGGTGGTGGCCACGTGAAATGAGTGAATTTTTTAGAAGTCTACAAAAAATAAACTCATTTCATGGGGGTGGTGGGTGAGGCCCACCAGCAGCACCACCGCCTCCTCCACCAGTGCGCGCTGTGTCGCCCGGAACACCCCCAGCACTCGCTCTGTCACGCCACCCCTTGGCAGCGTCCGCTGATTGCATGTGGGGGAAGAGGGAAGGAGGGGGAAGGGGGGGGGGGGGGGGAAGAGGAGGGAAAGAGAGGAATAGGTGACTCTTGAGTCAACTCAGTGGCCGCCAATAACACTCCCAGCACTCGCTCTGCCAGCGCACCCCTCTGGCGTGTTGGCTGATTGCGTGTGGAGGGAGGAGAGAGAGATAAAGGAGGGAGGGGGGAATGGAGGGGAAGCGGGTGAGTCAGGGGGGAAGGAACGCTGAGGGAAATCAGGGGTGAAGGAGAAGTGGAGAGGGGAATGGAGGTGTGGTGGCATTGTGCATGGTGCAGGGAGCACCACCCAACCAGCAACGCCAGAAGCCACCCTCAGCACCCGCGCTTACCCCTCAGCACCCGCGCTTACCCCTCAGCACCCGCGCTTACCCCTCAGCACCCGCGCTTACCCCTCAGCACCCGCGCTTACCCCTCAGCACCCGCGCTTACCCCTCAGCACCCGCACTTACCCCTCAGCACCCGCACTTACCCCTCAGCACCCGCACTCACCCACAACAGCACCCGCACTCACCCACAGCAGCCGCACTCACCCACAGCAGCACCCGCACTCACCCACAGCAGCACCCGCACTCACCCACAGCAGCAGCACTCACCCACAGCAGCACCCGCACTCACCCACAGCAGCACCCGCACTCACCCACAGCAGCACCCGCACTCACCCACAGCAGCACCCGCACTCACCCACAGCAGCAGCAGCACTCACCCACAGCAGCAGCAGCACTCACCCACAGCAGCAGCAGCACTCACCCACAGCAGCAGCAGCACGATGTCTTCAGGAAGGCCCTGCAGCGACGAGACGTGGTGGATGTTTGCCACTATCGAATCAGTGCATAACGAGAACAGCCTGGGCGGGGAGGAGCAAGCGGAGGAGGCAGAGGAGGAGGAGGAGGATAACGACGATAGCGCGGATGGTGCTGGTGGGACTGCCTCAGACCCCATGTGCCCCGCTCGTGCTGACTCTCGTGCCACGGCTGCTGATGGGGGCATAGGCTCACCGCCTGCTGCTGTTGATGGCCCTCCTAGGCTCACCACTCGCTCTTCGATTGAGTCACCTCTGCTTAGAATCACACTGAACCCGCCGTTTCTCGTCCCCAGCCCTCCCCCCCACCTTCCCCATTCTGCTCCTCTCACCGAGTTCCCGCCCCCCCTCCCCCTCCCCCTCTCCCCCACCCTCCCCCTCTCTTCCGCCCTCCCCCGCGCTCCCCCTTCTCTCTCACACGGCAGCATAGCCTCCTCGACCAGCGATCCCCACGGCGTCACTATCGCTCGCTTCGCGCTGCTCCCCCGCCCCCTCGCGTCACCTCCGCTTCCGCCACTACCAGCGCTGTGGTTTCCGCCCCGCCTTGCGCTCATCCTGCTCTCGCCATCGCCATCGTCCGGTGCCCCCGCCGGCGCATCCCCGCCGCTGATGCTGCTGTGGCTGCTGCTGCTGCTGCCGCCGCAGTTACCTGCAGGGGCGGCGGCGCTACCCGCCGCTCCGCGCATCAGCGACGGTTGCGCGCGGCGGTACTCCTCGTCACCGCGCCCGTTGCGCTCTGCCGCTGTAGCGCTTTCATTCCGCTCTTTGGAAAAATCGGCATCCAGCGATGCAATCTCTCGCGTCTGACGAGCCAACGACAACTCTGACGCTGACGTTAACGTTGACGTTGACGTGGATGCTGACGCAAAAGTTGTCAAACCGTCCGGTTCTTTCTCCAGGCGCAAATCTACACCCGCCGCGCCAGCCCCCGACCCCACGTCATCCCCTTCCCCACTATCCGCCGCGCCCGCCCTGCCTCGCCCCTTTCCCTCCGCTAACCCCACACCCGCCCGCACATCTCTCTCCGCCGCAACGGCCTCCGCCCGCTCGCTGAGCGATTCTGTCGCTAGGGGGACGTCGGCAGCCGGTGCTGGATCAACCAAACGAGGAGTCATTAGGTCGCGGAGTTATGAAACCGGTAAGCGATTGAAATCTGACCCCTATTTTACCGTGCCACCGAGGTTTATGAACTATGTCTGAGTTTAGTGGTCAGGAAGTGGTAGATTGTCAAACCAACTCGATAGCCGCTGTGCACCGTTTGAAATCAAGCTTTACCGTTTTTCACCATGATGAAACAAAATTAACCGTACAAAACGAACCAAGGGACAAACGCGCTGACCTCGGCATTAGCCTGTCACCGCATTGAACCAGCTTGCAACGTACAGCTTTTCGTTCATGACACCATAATGTGCAGTGGAGTTGGTTTTTCGACGCACCACTCAACCGCTGATCACCAGGCTCAACGTACAACCGCACCAACAGCGGACTATCACAACCAACTTAGTTTTGGGAGTGCTTCGTTCACGGTTGGCTGTAGTAGGCAAGGGAACAATTGCCGCATGGCGGACGAGCAGACATTGCGCGGCACGACGGCGATTGCAGTTTGTTGAAGCGCTATACGCTCGCGAAAGCACGCTCTGCGATAGTGGTCCGCGAGGCGCCTCGAAGCGCAAAGCTCGCAGCTCCCCAACCGTCAATTGCGTCATTCCCTCACGCTCTCTCAAATGGATTCGTCTGGCGGCGGCGGCGGCGGCGGCGATCACGCCGCCATGCGATCCGTCAAGACGAAACGAGTCGTCGCACATGGCCCGTCGCACGCTCCGTCGTCGCGCATCGGCGGCGGAGCGTCGTCGCCGCGAGGCGATCGCCAGGCGACTCTCTGGAGCTGCATAGATTGCTGCGGCTCACGGGAACCCGGCTCCCCCCGTTATAAGCGCCCTCGCGCAGTCACATTGACGTTAGCACTATTATTCGCGCTTCTTCTATCCGCTTTCGTGCTTCTGATCATACGATGGCCGCTGGAAGAGAGCTTCTTGCACTCGTATCTCGGAACCGGGAGGACTGCTTCAGTCGAGTGCATCCCGAATGCAGCCCAGGGGTTCAGCGGCGAGGGCGTCTTCGCGAAGCGGCGAGAAAAGAAGCAACAGAAAAATCTGCTGAATCAAGCGCACCAACAAGAACGACAGGAGGAGGAGGAGAAGTTACCGAGTAACCACGTGCAGCTGTTCGATGATCAGGGGGAGCAGGAGAGCGGGGCGGAGCAAGAGAGCGGCGCAGCAGCGACGCGGCCGTTCGTGTACGTGTATGACCTGGGGGAGCAGCTGACGTCCAAAGTGCTGAAGCTGGAGCTGGAGTGGTACTCGGAGCAGTACGACCTGGAGAAGCACTTAACGGAGATGCTTATGAGGCGTACAGACAACCCCGTGCGCACCATGGACCCCGAGCAGGCGTCGCTGTTCTTCGTGCCCTTCTACGTGTCGCGCTACCTCTTCTCCTTCTTCCATAATGACAAGAAGAACATGCGCCAATGCATCGAGAAGAGCTCACGGGTGGGTCAAGTGCGGTGCATTTGGTAGTAAGGCAAGCAGCCCTACACTCGTGCCCTTCTACGTGTCGCGCTACCTCTTCTCCTTCTTCCATAATGACAAGAAGAACATGCGTCAATGCATCGAGAAGAGCTCACGGGTGGGTCAAGTGCGGTGCATTTGGTAGTAAGGCAAGCAGCCCTACACTCGTGCCCTTCTACGTGTCGCGCTACCTCTTCTCCTTCTTCCACAACGATTGGACGAACATGCGCCAATGCATCGAGAAGAGCTCACGGGTGGGTGGTGGTGAGGCGCGATAATTATCGCTAGTACGGCGGGCAGACAGAGAAAGAGAGAGCCGTATGCTTGTGTACAAAGAGATCCTTTATTTTTTGTTATCAAAGAAGCATCATCATGCGTATCACACACGTGTGTGCAGGTGCATCAGCAGCTGGTGGTGAATTTGTTTGTGAGTGCCGTGTCGTGGGAACAGCAGCCATGCTTAGTACTTTTCAGGCGAGAGCCGATCGATTCTTCAGTCAACTCAAAAAACAAAGCACGCACAGAGTGCGTCAGTCAATTTTTGGACAGGTTGTTTGTGAACGAGGCGGGAGGGAGCAGAGATTGCTGACTGCCTGTTGGCCATGGAAGTCATTCTTGCATTGCCACACATGCACGCCTCTCCTCACTCGGGTGACAAAGTTCGGGCCGAATTCGGATCTTGCGATTTTGGCAAGGCTTGCCACCCACACCCCGGCCATACCTGCACCTTCCCCACCCACTCACCCTCTCACTGCCTTCCTTCCCGTTCTCGCTCCCTCCCACTCCTCGTTTCTCTTCCTTGCCCGACCTTGCTCGTCCCACCCAACCCCATTCCCCACCCTCTTGGACCCACCAGGCATGGACGAAAGTCCTGAAAGCCGTCTGCACCACCTTCCCCTACTTCAACCGCACCAACGGCCGAGATCACTTTGGCATCCTGACGCTCGATCACGGCCGTTGCCACTCGCTCACGTTTGTGGATCCACGGCTGGTGGGCGAGATGTTCTTTGTCACGTACAATGGAGACAAGCTCGTGCGCAGTGACCATGCTGCTAACGATCCCAGCATGCAGGTAGGTAGCCCATGGGGATGGGGTAGGTAGCCCATGGGGATGGGGACATCCGACATACCTTCATGTATTGTCACGATGTGTTATCCCATTCCTTTCAACACGCAGGTAGCAATCCTAGCATCAAGCGGACTGCAAGCAGCAATGCCAACGCCTCATCCCCACCCACCCCTCTACCCCCCGCCTCCCTCCCCTCAACCCCCCCACCCCACCCGTGCAGCTCCTATCATACCAGTACGGCGCAGCAGCAGACCCCACCATCCCCTCCATCCCATGCTACATGGCGAACAGAGACATCCCCGTGCCCGTGATCGTGCGCGCCCAGGTGCCGTTCGTGTCTCCCTTTGCCACGCTGCGCAAGTGGACGGCTATTTTCCGCTTCGTGGCGTCGCCCCACAAGCACGTGCTTCTGGACGTGCGCAGCAGAATCATCCAAGTAAGAGGGGAGGGGTGAGATCGCACTGCCTGCTCCACTGCACGCGCAGGTGACCCTTTGTCCTGCCCCTGGCCACGCCGCGCAAGTGGACGCCCATCTTCCGCTTCGTGGCGTCGCCTCACAAGCATGTGCTGCTGGACTTGCGCAGCAGAATCATCCAGGTGAGCGCAGGGAGGGGAGGGGGTTGCACGGCATTCTGGTCAGCATGCCAGGCACTGCCACACAAGCACGTGCGCAGCAGAATCATACAGGTGACAGTGCTGGTCGCTACCTGCGCTGCGCCCCTCCACTACCTGCGTGACCCTGCTCTGCAATTTAGCCTCTGCTGCCTCTGCTGCCTGTGGTGGTGTCGGGGCAGCAGTGGTCGCTAGCAAGGCAGGATGCTCCCTCGGTGCTGCCTTTGACCTGGTTATGCGTGTGTGTTGCGTGTAAGAATCCTCAACCCAAGAGTGATACAAGCATGGCCTGGCTTCACGGATGCACATCACAGTTGTTGGGGCGGGTCCAGCGCGTACGTTTACAGCTCATCCTGTGTGGTTATTCTTGTGCTGTCAATGGTAAACAGGTGGGCTGCGGAGGTCTTATGTCCATCAACTTAAACTGTGTCTTAGAACGACGAAGCAAACTCCATGAAATGAAAAAATGAGAGAGCCTGGAAAGCTTGTGAGCTAGAGCGTCTTAGAGAGCCAGATTGAACAGAATCGTCAACTTAAAATCAGAACTTGAGTAAACTAGTTTCGGTTCTTTCGAACCTTCATCAGTACAAACGGTTATTCTTGTTGCTTCACGGTGCAAAACGGCGAAGCGTGAAAACCGCTGTGCACCGCCTGATATCGTTTGCACCACTAGCGATGAACTGTAAACGATCTGTCAACGAACTGTAAACGTACGCGCTGGACTCTCGCTTATTCTATCTCTCCTGGGTGTCTGGCAGCAGTCAAGATTTCTCAGATTAAAGAGCCCAGCCTCGTGCGGTCATGGCAAACACAATCGCAGGGACCTGTAGCACGCATTCAGGGTGCAGGGCACGCGGGTGGGTGGGCCATGGCACAAGGATGGGCCATGGCACAAGGATGGGCCATGCACAAGGATGGGCCATGGCGCAAGGATGGGCCATGGCACAAGGATGGGCCATGGCGCAAGGATGGGCCATGGCGCAAGGATGGACCATGGCGCAAAGTTGGGCCATTGCGCAAGGATGGGCCATGGCGCAAGGATGGGCCATGGCGCAAGGATGGGCCATGGCGCAAGGATGGGCCATGGCGCAAGGATGGGCCATGGCGCAAGGATGGGCCATGGCGCAAGGATGGGCCATGGCGCGAGGATGGGCCATGGCGCGAGGATGGGCCATGGCGCAAGGATGGGCCATGGCGCAAGGATGGGCCATGGCGCAAGGATGGGCCATGGCGCAAGGATGGGCCATGGCGCAAGGATGGGCCATGGCGCAAGGATGGGCCATGGCGCAAGGATGGGCCATGGCGCAAGGATGGGCCATGGCGCAAGGATGGGCCATGGCGCAAGGATGGGCCATGGCGCAAGGATGGGCCATGGCGCAAGGATGGGCCATGGCGCAAGGATGGGCCATGGCGCAAGGATGGGCCATGGCACAAGGATGGGCCATGGCACAAGGATGGGTCATGGCGCAAGGATGGGCCATGGCACAAGGATGGGCCATGGCGCAAGGATGGGTCATGTTTCCAGAGAGCAACAAGAGGAGGGTCCGTGACGGGCATCAAGTATGCTCACTCACACGCGCTCCTCTCCTCCTCTGCTTTTTTCTGTTTCGGTCCCCTCCCTCTCCATTGTGCGCAGGCTGCCAAGGCGGACATGGCCCACACATGGCACATGTCTATCTGTGAGGCGCCTCAAGAACGGACATGGCCCACAGGTGGCACATGTTTGCCAAGAACAAGGAGCGAACAGACCAAGGCTGGCAGAAACACACACACTCTCCTCTCTCCCCTTACCAGGCAGCCAAGGGGTATCTGGACCCTGGGTGGGACATAACAGCAAAGAGTCGACTTTCGTGATACCACAAAAACTCCTCTCCACCCAACCCCCCTCTCCATTCCTCCCCTCCCCTTACCAGGCAGCGAAGGAGGACATGGCACCGGGGTGGGACATGTTCCCCAAGAGCGAGGAGAGGACGGACCAGGACTGGCAGCACAGCGTCTTCTGCATCTGCCCGCCCGGCCACTCCCAGTGGACCAGCCGCCCCTTCAAGGTGCGAGTTGTGGTAACCATACAGTGATTAAAATCCAACCATAGAGTAAAAACTACTTAGTAAGCTGCCTGCTGGACCACTCCCAGGGGACCAGTCGTCCTCCCAGGGGACCAGCCGTCCTTCCAGTGGACAGCCTCGTTTTCAGATGCCTCTATGCCAGCCGCCACTACCGCCGCGCGGTAGACTGGTGATCACGTTTGGAGACGGAATGCTCTTCAAGCTACAAGAAGTTATGATCTCCATGCCAGCTGATACCACCATTGCTCCTCATTGCGCTCCCTGAAATCTCATGCTGTATAGAGTTACATGCTTTCTTATTCTTGGGTTTACTCAAAAGTCCCTTTCGAACCACCCCCCCGATCCCCTCTCCCCTTATCCTCCCCCTCCTTCCCGCTCCCTTGTCACTCACCAGGCGCTCATCTCAGGGTGCATCCCAGTGACGTTCTTCCGCGAGCATAACAACCTGTGCCAGCTCTCCCTCGGGGACTCTTGAGTCGACTCAAAGGTCCATCCCCTCCTCCCGTTATCCTTCCCCCCTATCATCAGGGTGCATCCCAGTGACGTTCTTCCGCGAGCATAACAACCTGTGCCAGCTCTCCCTCGGGGACTCTTGAGTCGACTCAAAGGTCCATCCCCTCCTCCCGTTATCTTTCCCCCCTATCACCAGGGTGCATCTCAGTGACGTTCTTCCGCGAGCATAACAACCTGTGCCAGCGCCCCCTATGTAACTTCTGAGTCGACTCAAAACTCCCTCCTCCATCCGCTTCCCTCTACCACCCTGTCACTCACCAGGCACTGATCTCAGGGTGCATCCCAGTGACGTTTTTCCGCGAGCACGACAACCCGTGGCAGCGCTCCCTCGGTGACTCAACTAAAGGGTCCCTCTCTCCCTCATCCTCTTATCCCCCCCCCTCCCTCCCCCACTACCCCCTGGCTGCCTGCCAGGCGCTCATCTCAGGGTGCATCCCGGTGACGTTTTTCCGCGAGCATGACAACCCGTGGCAGGACACACTCAACTACGATGCGTTCTCTGTGAACATCGACCCTGATGACGTGCCGTCCATGCGAGCGAGGCTGGAGCAGGCAGACGTGGCGAGGCTGCAGAAGGGCGTAGAGAAGGTGCAGGTGCGTGTCTTTGTGTGATTGCTCATGCCACCTCTGAATGCTCCATGTAGACTGATGCAGCAGGTGCAGGTGCATGCACTTCTGAGAACCCGTGGCAGCGCTCGCTCAACTACGAGGCCTTCTCTGTCAACATTGACCCTGATGACGTGCCGTCCATGCGAGCGAGGCTGGAGACGGCAAACGTGCCCTTGCTGCAGAAGGGCGTGCAGGTGCAGGTGCGTGCTGCAAGTGCAGGTGAGTGCAGGAGGTGCAGGTGCGTGCAACAGGTGCATACCTCTCTGTGATTCATGAATGCTCATGTAAACTGATGCGGCAGGTGCTGGTGTGTGACTGTGTGTGTGATTGAATGATTATCTAGACTTTTGTTGTATCCACCCATATCCACTGGAGTAGCCACCTCACGATGCCGTGTGACTTCCATTCCCATCCCGTCATGCCCCAGGCACTCTTCCGGTGGTCGGGGTCATGGAGCGAAGGAGCAGAGTCCATGCTACTGCAGGGGTTGAGGACTAGAGTGGACTTCTTGCAGCGGTTTAAACAAGACTGAACTAGGTGCTAGATTGGCAGAGTGCAATAGCAGACTACCGTGCTGGTATGTGTATCCGCTAATAAGTATCTTCTGGCTGAAGGACCCGGGGGTCTTCATTTCCTTCATCGCTCTGTGAAATTATCTTGCAGCTGTTGTGAAATGCCTTACTCCAAGTTCATTGACTGCCCATGGCTTGTCGGTTTGTTGGAAAGCTCAATGGACAAATCACTTGTATTATACGGTAGTACCTGAAGTGTTGATTCTGCTGACAACCTAGTACACGTGATTGTAGCAAATATTCCTATCGATTCATCATACGCAAACACAAGGTACGGTACGGTATCCCTGTCCTTATGTTTTCTTGCAGTGCAGGCACGCTTGCGTATCCACAAATGTGACTGAGTGCCTCTCGTCATGGCCAAACGCTACGGTAGCTAGCCTTTACACATCAGCTCAGCAGGTGCTACAAACGTATTAGACCGCTGCATTTAAATGTAATCCAACATCTGCACTCGAACCTACAAATATTTCAACACTCAAACTTATAACGCAGGTCCCTTCAACACTCGGTCTGTGTGTCAACTTTATACATATACACCTCCCACGACGACACAATCGTCTTCTCCTCCCCTCCCTTCTCCTCCCCTCCCTCTCCCCTTCTCTCACCCCTCTCCCCTCACCTCCTTACTCTTCTTTCCTTCCCGCAACTTCGCCATCCCTCATCCAACTCTCCCCGACGATGCTTCCAAGCCTGTCCTTGCACCTGCCCATGCAACTGACCTCGCCAATCATCTCTCCACCACCACTGTCGCCACTCCCCTCACAACCACTCTCCTCGTCGATGCTTTCGAACCTGTCCTTGCACCTGCCCATGCAACTCACCTCCTCAATAATCCGCCCACTATTCACCCCACTTTCCGTACCATTGCTGTCGCCACTACCCTCACAACCACTCTCCTTGCCGATTTTCTCGCAGCCATCTGTGTTCCCATCCTTCCCTCGCCTCCTCCCGCTGGTCCTGCCGGGGCATGTGAGCTTGTGGGACGGCCAGTGCGCCTTTTGGCAGCCTCTGCTGCAATACCTCACCTTGCCACACCCACCGCAACTCCTCAGCTTCACACTACCACCACCCTGCACCCTGCCACACCCTGCAGCACCGCACACACGGCCTTGGACATCGGAAGCAGTAGCACCAGCAGCAGCAACACAGATGTTCGATGAAGTGGGGGTGGGAGAGGCAGCAAGACGAGAAGACATCGCAGCAGCAGGATGGGTGGAAGGAGCAGCACGGGTGGACGTGGCACCAGGAGGAGAAGCAGGGGGGACAGGGCGGTAGCAGGGCTCTCCCAGCAGCATCTCTCGTAGACATGCCACCAGGTTGACCCCCCCCGGCCATGCCTTCAGATACGCCGGCTCCTCCCCCTTCTTGCCTTTCTTCTCACTTCTGCTGCTGCTGCTGCTACCCACCCAATCACAGTTGCTGCTGCTGCTGCTGCTGCTGCTGCTGCTGCTGCTGCTGCTGCTGCTGCTGCTGCTGCTGCTGCTGCTGCTGCTGCTGCCAGTGCTACTCTCCGTTAGAGTCCCACGCTGCCCTTCCAACCCCTCACAGTACCTCGGGACGATCGCTGCCTCAAGAATCCATGTAATGTCCCACCCCCTTGCTGGCCTCTTCAGCTTTCTGCTGCCTCTGCACTCCTCGCTCTCTCCCTCCCCCCCCACGTTGAACCTCCACGCAACCATCACCGAGGAATACCACATCACCACCTCCTCCCACACCTCTCCACCGTTCTCCTGGCCCTCCTCACCATCCCAGCGGCTTTCTACCTTCAACCTCCCACCTGTCCCCCCATTCCCTTTTCCACTGCATTCCCGCTCGACCAAATCGTTTTTCATAAGAGCATGAGCGCACCACACAGCTATGTGAATGAGAAAATATAAAGGCACCTGCTCAGCACGCTCCAGCAGCACACGCACGGTCACAGACCTGGGCAGGCGAGCAGGGAGGTCCAAGCACTCTACCAGCTTAACAAACCCAGGGGAGGACGGTGGGAACGTCGAAAGCACCCGGGAGAAGAGGTGACTGACAGGGCGGTATGCAAAGTTGGCGATGACAGCAACGGTGCACGCGAATGCCATGAAGTCTGTGGAACAGCGGGTGCAGTGGGTGCATGCAGGAGGGTCCATTACGTACCCGGCTAGCCCCAACAGCAAGTCTATGTCTGCCTGGCAGCGCACGATAGGAAGCTTCTCTCTGGCGGGCGGTAGTGTGACTCTGTGCTCGGCGTTTCCAGGTGCTTCGGCATTCCCACACGCCTTGCTCTGTTCTGCTTCCACACCTTCCACACCGGATCCCTGCCTCGCTGCCTTACAACCCTTTCCCCTTGCACTCCTGCGGTTCTTTCCTGCTTCAGATGTGTGCTGAGGAGGAGGAGGTGGGGTGAGCTTCTCTGCTGCTCCACCGCGCTCCGCCACAATCCCAAGCCCAAAACATCGCTCTTTCGGGTTGGCAGGAAACTTCACAGCAGGTTCATCGCCCCGAGGCCACTCCTCCCACTCCAACGGAACGCTGCTTCCCTCCAGAGGCTTGGGAATGGCACCAAACCTGACCAGCAGGCTCGGAAGGTCCCGAAGCGGGTGACGAATAACCCGTATCTTGCTCTGATCACCGTCCTTCGAGCACTGATTTCTAGAGATGGAATTTGGGCCGTAGACTCGGACCCACTGCAAGATGCAACGGACCCGATAGGTGAATGCAGCAACCACAAAGTTCGTGTTGACAGGCACAAGTCGTTTGACCGGCACGAGCCTATCTACAGATACGCGCCTATCGTTTGTAGCGATGGCTGTAGTAAGCTGAGGAGGGGGCTGAGCTCCTCCCACACCTGCCCCTTCTCCTCCATCTATCCCCCTTTTCTGCTCTAAGCGGTGCTGCAACAGCCTCCCGCTGACCACCTGAATGGCTGCTCTCTCTACCTGTATCTTGCTAACAGGGTTCGCATCATGGAAGTATAACTGCACCTCCTTCCAGTGCTCTGGTTTCAGCAACGCTGTGGTGACAGCGAGGGCGAACTCTGTCGCACCTACACCACTCACGTGCATGCCCTTGGGAGCACCGCTGCTCTTACTGCTGGCCCCAGAACCGCTGACGTTGCTGCTGCTGCTGCCACCGCCGCTGCCGCCGCCGTCACCGCCGCTGCTGCTGCCGCCACCGCCGCTGCCGCCACCGCCGCTGCTGCCACCGCTGCGGCTGCTGCTGCTGCTGCTGCACCCGTCACTGCAGTGGCTGCACCTGAACTCCCTCCCTTCCCCCCCTCTATGCTCCAGAATCCAAGCCATGCCATCCACATACCTCCTCCATACAGGCCCTTTCAAATTCTCCCTCCACTTCCTGTCTTTCCTCACCCTCCTGCACTTACTAGCAACCCCTTCGACCTCTGCCTTGCTCTCTGCCACCTCCTCTCCGCACCCCTCATCGCCCTTCCCATCTGACGCATCCACCAATCCCCCTATAGGCCTTTTCTCTGCCCATCTGCCCCCACCAACAACCCTCTCCAGCCCCCCATGTCTCCCCGTCTGCTCCGCACTGCCTTCCCCCACACCCTCACATCCCCCCTTCCCCTCTGCATGCGCCTCCTCCGCAGCCCTCTTCTTGACTCCCTCCCTCCCCTCTCCATGCACCTTCTCCAGCCCGCCTGACAGCACATGCTGCACAAAAAACCCAAACCCTTCCTGCAGGTCAGTGCTCTCCTTCACCCCAAGCACCTGTACCAGCATGGACGCAAAGCAATCGTCTTCCCCCTGCCTGCCCGCCCCTAGCTCGGCCAAAATTGCTGGCCAGGCGGCCAGATACGAGTACAAGTGAGCCCTCCATAGAGTCACAATGCGGGAAGATCTCGCTACAAGAACGAGGGACGTTGCGAAGTTGACAGCACGGCGGTAGGCAGCCCAGCAAATGCTGCAGCGCCAGCAGCAGGACCATGCTGCGGAAGCAGAAGCAGCAGCGGATGCAGCAGATGCGTTCTTGTCTCCTGCTGCTGAATCTTCTCCAGCTTCTGCTAGTACTGCTGCTGCTCCAGCTACTGATGCATCTGCTGCAGCGTTCGCAGTAGCCAGAATGGATGGCAGGCGGGACCTGATCTTCCCAAGGTCCATGAGCAGGCCCACACGAGGCTGAGCCATCCACTCGAGCAGCATGGCTTCCGCACAGAAGAAAGGCGCCATGTCCACCTTCCACGCAAATGTCAGAATGTTATAATTGTCTAGCCTGCAGTGGGGTACTCTATAGTGAGTACAGCCCAATTAGGGTTTGCTATATGTATCCAACTGCTTGCTAGTGAACCTCCTCCTTTCTTCATTCTTACTTTCTACTGCTAATTCTGACATGCTATCAGAGCAGGTCGATCCCCTTGGGTCGATCCTGTGGGTGGGCCCACCACCTCACTGCTTCCGCTGCTACTGCTACTCTGTGTGTTGCACGCCCCGTGGCGTGCGACGGATTTTTCATCCCGCCGCGCGCTCGGAGCGTGCGGCGGTTTTCTGCCCGCCGTGCGCCCCGAGGCGCGCGGCGGTTTTCTGCCCGCCGTGCGCCCCGAGGCGCGCGGCGGTTTTCTGCCCGCCGTGCGCCCCGAGGCGCGCGGCGGTTTTCTGCCCGCCGTGCGCCCCGAGGCGCGCGGCGGCTTTCTGCCCCGTCACTCCGCGCGTCGCTCCCGGGAGGCGCTGCGACGGGCGACGGGGACCCGCGCGTCGCCCCCCGTCGCCCGTCGCGGCCTGCGCGACCTGCGTAGGGCCCGCGCGCGGCCCGTACAGCCTGCGCGCGGCCCGTACGGGCTGCGCCAGGCCCGCGCGCGGCCCGTACGGGCTGCGCCAGGCCCGCGCGCGGCCCGTACGGGCAGCGCCAGGCCCGCGCGCGGCCCGTACGGACTGCGCCAGGCCAGGGCGCGCCTCGGGCCGCCCGCACGCGGTTCGTACGGGCTGCGCCAGGCCCGTGGGCGCCCTGTTTTCTCTGCCCCTGCGCTGCCCGCTGTCCCCCGTGCTTCTGACGGCGCCCCACCCCTGCTGCTGCCCGTTCTCCTGAATTAGGGTTTGGGGGTGGGGGGTATGGGGGTGCAGTTTCTGTGCGTCGTCCCCTGCTCCTCCTCCTCCGTCTCCCAGTGCTGCAGCTGCCGCTGAGGGGGGTGGGTGTGTGGGAGCCGAAGGAGTGGTACTAGGGGGGTGACGTGCAAGTGGAGTTAGGAGTGAAGCAGTGGGTGTGTGGGGGGTGTGTGGGACAGTTGGAGGAGGTTGAGCGGAGGCTGCTGTCTTGTCGTCCGCAGCACCTGTAATCCGGGGCGCACTGTCCTGGTAGCCCAGAGAGCCTGCTGCGCCTGTCGCCCGAGGGTCCGTTGCTCCTGTAGCTCCTCGTAGCCCGTGAGCCAGTTACTCCAGTAGTCCGGGGCGCACTGTCCTGGTAGCCACTGTGCCAGCAGCTCCTGTTGCCCGTGCCTCCTCCGCCGAATCTCCTCGTCCCGCGTGTCGCTCCTGCACCACTGCTACCCCTTTGAAGTACTCCAAGTGGGGCTGGTGCTCCGGCTGCTCGGGTGCCGCGGCGGGGATGCAACCCGGCTGGTGCCTGCCCAGGTGGCGGCCACGCACGTCGTCCAGGTTCGTTATGACAAGTGCTCGCTGTGCCCTCTTGCTTATAACACGGTCGAAGCAGCACTCGCACATATCGTAATTCCACGCACCCATTACATCCAAGTAGTGAACCATGTCCGCCCGAGACAGCAGCTGAAGCGGCTTCGGGCTTTCCTTTTGAGACGTCTCAAACACCGCATTTCCCCCACCCGTCACGTCCAAGTAGTGAACCATGTCCGCCCGCGACAGCAGCTGACGCGGCTTCGGGCTTTCCTCAGCTCTTGCTTTCTCTGCTGCCGCTCCGAATGTCACATCGGGATGATCAGGCTCACCCTGGTGGATCCGCACTCCAAAGCAGGGTCTCAACTTCAGTGTCGCATTCGTCGTCACCTGCTCTTCCATCTTCTCAAGAGGCCGTGACAAGCGTGTTGCTTTCATAGCATACTCCTCCTCCTCCCCCTCCGCCTCTTCCTCTTCCTCCTCCTCCTCCTCCTCCGCCTCTTCCTCCTCCTCTTCCTCCTCCTCCTCCTCCTCCTCCTCCTCCTCCTCCTCCTCCTCCTCCTCCTCCTCCTCCTCCTCCTCTTCCTCTTCCTCTTCCTCCTCTTCCTCTTCCTCTTCCTCTATCACTTGCTCTCCTGCCGCTCCGTTTGCCCCAGTGCACTGACCAAGTCCACGTTGCTCCTTCTCAAGAGTCCGCAGCCAGGCATCCATACTCTTCCCCTGCTCTTCCAACTCATGAAGGGACCGTGACAAGCGTGCTACTCTCAAAGCATAATCCTCCTCCTCTTCCTCTTCCTCTTCCCCTTCCTCTTCCGCTTCCTCTGCTGCCCCTCCGTTTGCCCCAGCGCACTGATCTAGTCCACTTTGCTCCTTCTGAAGTGCCGCCAGCCAGGCCCCCATACTCTTCAGCTGCTCGTCAAACTTCTGAAGCTGTAACAAGTGTGCGTCGTTAACACCACCTTTCTCTTCCACTTCCTTTTCCCTGCTATAGCCAGCGTCAGCATCAAGGCACTTCAGCTCTGCTCCGCCAACCCCTATTGGTGCTCCTCTCTTCGGCTGAAGCCCCTCGCCTTCCGTGCTGCTGCGTTCGATAGGGCCCAATTCGGTGGCGAAAGCAGCAGGCGCATTAGGAGTAAGAGAATCCGAAAGGCGAGAAACTGCAGTTGCAGATGCAGGAGCAGGAGCAGGAGCAGGAGAATTTTGAAATGGCTGGACCTTCACTTCGCCCTTGTCCCTTCGATTTCGAGATACCTGTTTCAGGGAATCCACGATAATGGTTGTACCCGCTCTAAGCTTGGATTGCTCGACGATCAAGTCAGCAGAAAGGCACACTTGCTGCCCAACAGCAGTGAACCGAATTTGGAATCCTTGCTCCACCGATTTCAACCTATCTCGACCTCTCCGCTGCTGACGTGCCTTGCGTGGCCGGCAGCAGTTGGGCAGATGAGACTGAATCAGTCGGCAGAAAACCGATGATAGAAGTTCGTGAGGAGCAACAGTAAGAGAGACGTCCGCGTGTGCTGCAGTCGGCTTGATCCCCGAACTGTTGTTTCCGAAAGGATGGTCCGAGTCTTCATCCGTGACGGATCCTGCGGACTCGCCAATTCTATTCGGGGGGCTGTTACATCCACGGATTCTCAGACAAGCTGGGATTCTGAATATGACCTCGAAATCCATGTCGGATGCTGCAATATTCTGATTGAATTCGCAAAGTATCAGTCGAAGCCACCCACTAACTTGTAATCAGATCCGTCGGTTTCAACTGGAACGGAAAGGCCAGTAAGAGTGCTATCTCGGTCGATGACTCAAGTCCAACGAGACTAGTGATCGACGAGTAAGCTAAGGCTGTGAGACCAATGGGTTGGGGCTAAGGAGAAATTTGGCTAAGTGTTGAGAAAGGCATAGCTTTGACAAAGAGAATTCACTAGAATTGAATGAAAGATAGAATACAAGGGGTAAAGAACTACCCAACCACTGAACCTACCAAGAGAACGTTCTCACCTAGAACGTTTAGATAACTACTACTTAGCTGCGCTTTGCCAAGTCAGCATCGGCAGGTGAAAATTACAACACATGCTTAGTTGGTAATTTTTACCTACCTAAAAGTAGTTATTTTAACTGTTCAGGTTGTTTTAAACAACTTCTGTAACGCACGATTTCGTAGTTACGAAAACGTGCGCCAGGTTCAGTTTGCTCAGGTGGTTCAATTCGCGCCCAGATTGAACACCCCAAGTTCACGCACTGTTTCCCGGGGTCAATTTCTCAATGTCCGCAATGTTCCGAAATTCCCACGCAAAAGTTCCGAAACGATCGCACTTTTGCGTCGGAGGGGTTCGCCGGTAGAAGACTTGGTCCTCTGCAGAATTTCGCTTCTGCAGATGTGCCTTCTTCTGCAGACCCGAAATCTCTGCAGATGCGCCCTCCTCTGCAGCTTCACGATCTGCTCTGCAGATTCGCCCTGTTCTGCAGCGGAACCTGCTTTCTGCTTCTGCAGGTTTCTTTCTGCTGCAGCGCAGAGTTCCGCAATGACCTCTGCAGAATTCGCTTCGGCGGATTTTCCTCCCTGCAGAGCGCGACGACCAGATCTGCAGGGTCAATGCCAACTCAACACTCCCCTGCATTGATCATGTTTGGTCGTCGCAGAGAACCTTGACCCGTCTACACCACACACCAGAGCAGAACAGAAAGAAAAACAAAAACAAACATGCAGAAAAAAAACAAACACACAAGGAATTGCAGAAATCTGCAATCCACACACACCACCGCACCAGCCATGATAAGGTCATGGCACCTATTCCTCGTCGAGAGGACCCTCTGCACTGCTCCCCTTTTTCGAAAGCCTTACTTGACCAACTTTCTCAAAGCAGTTGTTGAACGCAGGGAAATGTAGTGCTTTCGTCAAGTAATCTGCCGGCTGCTCGGTCGTCGGAATGTACTGCAGCTTCATCTTGCGACGTTTCACCATGCTCTGCAGCCACATGTAGCGCCGCTCCATGTGCTTCAGCTTTCCCTTGAGCCCCATTCCTTCAGACACAGAAATCGCAGATTGATTGTCGACGTGGATAATCGTTGGTGACGTCTCGTCGAGCATGCGAAATTCTGCCATCAGATAACGAAGCTTTCGAGCTTCCTTTCCAGCCTCCACTGCAGCGATGTACTCCGACTCTGTAGAAGAGTGAGTGATGCACCTGATCCTCTGACTTGCCCATGAAATAGCAGCTCCACCGAGAGTGAAAATGTAGCCACCCGTGCTGCTGCGATTCTGCTTGTCTCCTGCATCGTCTGCATCTGCGAAGCCGACGAGACGCATCTCTCCATTTCCGTCGCCGAACTCGAGAGCAACATCGCGCGTCCCAACAAGGTACGCAATGCAGCGGTCGAGCTCCCTCCAATGCTGGTCGCTTCGAACCGTTTGGCCAGACGCAAGTTTGCTGCACGCGAAGGAGATGTCGGGGCGAGTAGTGCAGGCAGCAAACTGCAGAGAGCCGACCCTCTGCCGATACTCTTCTTCTGTGCGCGCCTGCAACTTCTCGTCATCAAATGTCAGCACCTTGAAGGCGTCGACCGAAATTGGCGTCTTCGGGACTCGCTGAGGAGGTCCTTTCGGCAGAAAACGCCTCTGCACCCTGTCGACGTAGCCTCTCTGATGCAGTCAGATCTTCCCCGCTTCCCTGTCTCTGATCAGCTCAAGTCCCAGGTACTTGTTGACAGGGCTGATCTCCCGCAATTTGAAGGCGTTTTCGAGCAGCGCCTTCAGTTCTGCCAGATGTTCCTTGCTGCGGCTCACGGCGAGCAGATCGTCGACGTAGACGAGCACCCAGCACATGTCGTGGTTCTCGTCCTCGTGGAAGTAGAAAGCTTCGTCGACCTGTCTCTTCGACCATCCTGCATCTTCCAGCACTTCGTCGAGGGCCTCGTACCACAACATCGGACTCTGCTTCAGTCCATACAGGCTTTTCTTCAGCATGCAGACTCGACCCGTCCCGTCGTTGTAGAACTCGGGCTGCTCCATGAAGAGAGGACGATCAAGTTTCGCATTCAGAAATGCATTTGTCATGTCGAGTTGCATCAACTCCAAATTTCCATCAGCTGCGTTCGACAGATGCATCCGAGCAGTTCCGTAGCTTCCGACGGGGGCAGATATAGCGTTGAATTCGTCAGGGGTCTGCGTGTATCCTTTGACGACAAGTCGACCCTTCTCTCGGTCGACCGTATCGTCTGGGTTGTACTTCGTCGTCAAAACCCATCGATTCTTCATGACATTAACCCCAGGCGGACGAGGAACCAGCTCCCAAGTCTCTTGATCGTAGAGAGTCTGCATCTCTGCATCCATTGCAGCTTTGACCGCTTCACCCTTCCAGCTTCGCAGAGCTTCTGCAACTGTCATGGTCGAAATGTCCCAACGATGATCCGTGTCGACGACGCACTCGTCAGCAGAGTCGAGCTCTTTCTGTACTACATCCTCATGCATGCCGTCGAGCGAAGTCGTCGTAAACATCGTTAGACCTTCGCGGAAGCGGAGCGGCTTCTCAATCTTTCGACCATAACGAGAAACCCGAATTGTTTCGTCTGCAGGTCCTTCTTCTGCAGGTTGCTCCTCTGCGGCAATTTCTTCTAAATCAGGCATCTCTTCTTCGACATTTTCTTCTGCAGGCAGCTCGTCTGCAGATCGATCTTCTGCCGATTGCTCTTCTGCGGATCGCTCTTCTGCGGATTTTTCATCTGCAGGCTGTTCGACTTCTCGACGCTCATTGGCGACGACATTCATTGGCAATTTGCTCCCCTCTTCGCCAAGAAGCGTCGACAATGGCACCAATTTTTCAGTCGAAGGAAAGAACGTCGAAGAAGAGGCAGTCGACAGCTGCTCCCCTGTCGAAGAAGAGTCAGAGCGAATGTCTTCTGCAGAAGGAACCTGCTCCTCGGAAGGATCGTCATCTGCAGGAGAAGTGTCTTCTGCAGGAGGAGTCTCTGGCAACGGCGAGAGTTGCACTGGAGGGTTGTCAGGAGGCAGCTGCGGTCGAGGAATCGGCGTAGGCACGAGCAGAGGGGCTGGTGCCCTAGTCTCTTCGTCATCATCGTCGTCATCATCCGCAGAATCCGACGGGAAGGAGGCCACATTGTCGAGCGCAGCACGGTCGACGGTGGGACTCTGCTTCGTCGCCTTCCACTCTGCAAGAGACATTGTCTCGTAGAAGATGGCCTCGACCGTGGTGATCAAACGGTTGCTCGACAAATCGAGGACCAACCACCCCTTACTCTGCTGCGAGACACCCAGGTGGAGACCCCAACGAGCTTTCGGCTCCAACTTCCCCCCCCGTTGACTCTCTGGAATGAGGTACTGCAGCATACACCCCCAAACTCGAGCCATCCCAAGGTCAGGCTTCTTTCCGAAGAGCACTTCATAAGGGGTTACCCCTGATGGCAGAGAGGAATGTTCCAGACGATTCCTCACCCAAACAGCTTGCAGAGCTGCAAGGTGCCACCAATGGTGGGGAGCTCCCATGTGCAGAAGCATCGTCCTAACGGCTTCGACGACAGTCCGCATTTCACGTTCCGCCATCCCGTTCTGCTGCGGCGTATAGGGGCAGGTGAGGTCGTGCTCAATCCCCTTCTCTTCGAGGAAGTCGGTGAATTTATGTCCCAAAAATTCGCCACCTCGATCGGAGCGGAGAGCCTTCAGCGAAGCCTCACATTGCCTCTCTGCACGCGGAAGCCACTTCTGGAAAACGAGCAGAGCATCGCTTTTCTGCGCAATCGGGTAGAGCCAGACGTAGCGAGATTTTCGATCCTTGAGCAGAAGAAAATAGCGGCTGCCATCTTTCGCAGGAACTCGGAAGGGCCCGCAGAGATCGATGTGCACTACTCCCAGCACCTTCTGCTCTTCGCTCCCCTCTTGAGGG